TATTCTTGTGTCGTGGGTTCGTTTACAAACATACAAGTTCACATACACGATGTGTATACACATATTGTTGTTCCGGGTCTGGGTGTCATGTCATGACACCCAGACCCGGAACAACAATATGTGGATCACACAAAGAGTTGTTCCGTGCGGGAATCGAACCCAAATGATTTTATGAGAACTCTGGATTTTACTATTAATGGGACAATTAACTACAAATGCACAATAACCAGTAAATACTTGTTATCAATCCGGTAGTTGTTCACTCTGATTACAAAGAATGCAATGTAATAACCAAGACATGTCAAGGTTAAACATAGCATTCTTTAATTAAAACCAGCGTTTACTTGATCAAAACGTACCTATATAACTACTACATTTATTTATTTAGGTATAGCAATTAATATCAATATCAATCGCACTAATATTATAAATGATTGGATGTTTGTCCGTCAAAAACGCTAAAACTACTGAACGGATTTTGATTAAATATACAGGGTATACAGGCAGATTGTCGCGGAGAACCTAACGGGTTACCGGGGCTCCGGCTCGAAGTGCAGGAGTAGGAACGGGGTGGTTTTTGGTCAGTAAGAGTCTGACACTCCCTCCCGCCTCACCCAGGCGGAAGAAGTCATTCGATGATTTTCCCCCTTAAAAAAATACAGGCAGATTATGAGCTGACTCGTAAAACATCGTGAAGAAACCTGGGCAAACCTGGAATACTAATTTCTAATTATAAGTTTGAAATCGCCAACCTGCATTGAGAAAGCGTGGTGATTAATGCTCAAACCTTCTCCGTGTGAGAAGAGGCTTTACTCAGCAGTGGGCATTATAGGCTGTTGATGTGATGATGTGACTTAGGTGATAGGATATTTTCATCCTAATTAAATGCTCCTATGTGATAAAACAGGCATCATGTACTACGCGGACGAAGTCGCGGGCAATAGCTAGTTATTATTGTATTAATTAAATGCGCACAGTGACTAGGCAACTGGCTCCTGTGGGAATGGTCGAGGAGTTAATTCCGGACAGAACAGTTTATCGTGTGATGCACAAACTATTGTTCTGGGTATGGGTGTGATAGGGCATCGGACTGATATGCGTTGACAGATTTCCTAAGTAATCTCTGCGATAGAGTGACAGCAATTTTCTGAGAGATTCTTGAGAGAGGATTTTACGAAATTCGTTTTTAGAAAAATTGGATTATTATACACAGGCAGATAGGCGTAGGCAAATGCACAGGCTAAAATAAACTGTGTAAGTACCTATTATGAACAGTTTTAATATCAATACAAAAACAATAATTATTCTTTAATTGTTATTAATTTATTATACCACCGACTACACTCGCATATCTAAACAGATTTTAGCTAGCATTATCAATGACAAATTGCTATTTATATGTAAAATGTGGCATTAATGCATTAATGAATAATGGCCCAATACGCAAAAAAGGCATTTAAACGCACGCTGGTCAAACATTTTTCTAAAGGGCTGTACCAAGACAACATATTTTACAATTTTTGTCTGTCGGTCTGTTTGTTTGTACTGGTAGGGCTGGACCGATTTTGACGGATATTTTAATGCTAGATAGCTGATAAACTGAGGAGTAACATAGAGTACATTTACTTTGGAAAATTTGGACCAAAAAGAAAGTTATGTTCTAAAGAAAAAAAAGTGTTTATTCAGCACAATAAAATACAATGGGACAAAGAAAAAAAAATTATATTACAAAATACTTACCTACAATCAAATTAAAAAGGTAATGAAAAAAATATAATACAGTTGGTAACCCATTCAATTTACCTACTTAATTTAATAATCTCACAATTTATCATACAATTTCGAATAAATTCCAGATCAATGCGTTATTAGACCAAGATTCTGTCAAACTCATTTGGCGAAGGTACCTAAATGATTTACTCTGATATACCTAAGAATAAATCAATGCCACCGATCCATTTCCAAACCTTGGTTGTGGCAGCTTTACGTACCAACTGGTCTGATAGGTATTAGATAACTGTGACATCTGCTGTACATCAAATTAGGGATTTCGAAATGCATTTGTTTATGCAAATATGTAATACATTAACGACGTTATGTCTAATCTAATGTTATCTTCTAATGCTTATTGAGGAAATACCTATTCATTTACCTGGATATCTACATACATAACATCACGCCTTTTATCCTCGAAGGGGCAGGGAGAAGTGCACATATGCTACTGTACAATATAACACGCACTTTTTACTATTTATGTTATGAGTCCCATGTAATAGGGGGTGAGCATATTGTCATATACCGGGCACAATTCCAGACTCCGTGCTACAACTGAGAATTTTTAAAAAACCCAGTAATACTTTACCCGACCCGGGAATCGAACCCGAGACCCTTTGTCCGGCAGTCGCACTTGCAACCACTAGGCCAACAAGGCAGACACCTGGATACCTATACTTGAAAATTTATAAAACTAACGAACGAGTACTGAAAGATCACACAATTTTAAAAGTGCATCGTGCCGTCTCTGTCATTTTACAAAGAATTTATAGTGACAGAATTCTATACTTAAGCGCGACATAAAATAGAGAAGTCTTAGTCTTTCAGTATTCAGTCGAAAACTAAGCACGGACACCGAAATTATACGATACAGTTCATATAACTCTTTTAGGGATGCCCAACAAGTTTCTAGTAACACTAGAACGCTTAATTATTTGCTGCACCTATGAGGCAAAGCGCAGCCGATGATGTTTAGAACTCGAGATAATCCTAACTTATATTATAAATCGGAAAGTGAGTTTGTTTGTTTGTTTTGCAGACGTAAAGTTAGAAGTCCGGATTAAATAATAGGGTACTTTTTATCCCGGAGAAATTTTAAATTCCCGAGGGAAAACAAAAGTACCTATTGGTATAGATGGCGCTGTATGTATTGGTATACGTCACATAGGCTACTTTTTAACCTTTTATGACGCGAGCGAAGCCGCGGGTAAAAGCTAGTACATAAACATGTTGATAAAGTACACAACGTAATTTAAAAATAAACTGTATCGGAAGAACATAAATATATTTTAATATACAATAAATAAATTATCGATGTTCTCGCGTCAATCAACGCGTAAACCTTGGCAATGATGAGACCGCGGTGTGGCCACGCAATCAGCGACCGTAAACTAATACATATAAGGAATATTTTCATGAACATCTCCCTGATAGACAGCTAAGAAATTAAATACTATTTAGTCTTGGAAAGCTCTGGTGGTCATTTTTTCATTCGGTCTTTTATCGAATGCATATCATTGAGTGTACATAGTCCGTCCGTCTAGTAGATTATTTTAAAACATTAGACACGTATTTTTTATTTTTTTACAGAAACGAATACTTTCGTCGATATATTAATTTGAAATGTCGCGTGACGTCACTTCTATGTACATTTTATTCTTAGAAATGACGTTTTAGCCCCCACTCCTAAACTTTGATTCGTTTCATCTAAGTGTTGTTTTATTATAAATCGAAATAAAAAAAATACTTGTCTAATATTTGGTTATTACCTTACTGACGGACTAATTAGATTTTTAATTTTCATACCCTGTCATCATCCCTATTGCACAACTTGTTTTCCCCTAGTACTCATCATCATACCTCCAAACAATGGCAAATTGTAACCTCTTTATGGTGGATATCTCACTCCATAGACGAGCCTTAGCGTGACAAAGTTGAAGCGAGTTTGGGAGGATATCGCGGGCTTGTCCCATACAAAATATACCACACGTACAAAGCGTTTCGTCTCAAGTTCAAAAGTGGTGTGTCACCGGCACGGACGGGACATTGAATTCGCTAACTTCATAGCCTCAGTAATGAAATAATTGCGTCACAGACTGTCTTCACCGTTACAAAATACATGTAGAATAGAATCTAACGACCTGTGTCCAATATACTGCGCCTTGCGGTATATTTAGAACACGTTATGGCTACCGGTGCAAAAATAACTTTATATATACGTCGATTAGGTTGTAAACTACCTGTTATAATGGTGTTAGGGTGTTATGGAATATTTTCAGTGATATTTCAGAAGTATATACCCACACACATACCTACATATATCGATTGAATGGAACAAATAGGTAATATTCCGGGAAATAAATTGTCATGCATGTCAACGTTAAAGAGCAATTAGGTATGTTTTCATACGTTCCGGTTCCAGTGTACCTACTGTATATTTCACCGCGGCCTCTGGCCACCGTAAGCGCGGGCCTGCGGACGGCGAGCATGGGTGGCTCTCCGTCCGACCAGAAACAGACCCGAGCGTACGGCGTGTCGCGTTCCGCGCGCGCCTCAAAGAGCCATCAGACCACCACAGATGGGGCCAAAAAGGGCCGATGCCGATTCGGAGTCGCGGAGAACCTAACGGGTAACCAGGGCTCCGGCTCGACGTGCAGGAGAAGGAACGGGGTGGTTTTAGTCAGTAAGAGTCTGACACTCCCTCCCGCCTCACCCAGGCGGGAGCAGTAATTCGATGATTTTCCCCCCTTAAAAAAAACTGTATATTTCACACGTACCGGCATAATTTGTGTACACTGGGCCGCCGGATTCCCGGCACTGGTCGATTACTGGGTAGGCAAAATTTTATTTTAAAAGGACAACAGTTAATACCTAATAAAACTAACTTTAAACATTGCACTGTCAATAAAACATTGTCGTTTAGTAAATACCTATTGTCTAAGCATTGGAAGTCATTAAATCTTATATCTTAAACTTACTTACTATTATAGAGGTATAAAGCGGAAGATTTTGTTTTTTTGTTTGTTTGTTTGAACGCGCTAATCTCCGTAACTACAAGTCTGATTTGAATAATTATTTTTGTGTTGGATAGCGCATTTATCGAGGATGGCTATAGGCTATAAAACATCACGCTACGACCAAAAGGAGCTAAGCAGAGCGTGTGAAACCGCGCAGAAGTAGCTAGTAATTAACTAATTTCTAACCTTGCTATTCGTCTTCTTCTACAGGTGGACGAATGCTGGGTGAAGTTCCAGTACCGGGTGAAGAAGGTGGAGCATGATGCCCAGAGAGCAGCCATGTTCAGCGGAGACAGCCACCACAAGTTCCTGTTGGGACACATGATCGTGTTTCGGATGCATCTGAACAAGGTCTGGATAGATATAAAACGTATTATGTTTAAGTGATATCAGAATACAAAAGTTTTAGTTATTTCGGTAGGCGGCTGATCGCATTGTACCTACTGCTATGCAGCATGAGGCATTTCAGGTTCGATATCCGGCTCGCGCAAAGTAGTGTTGGATATTTTCTTAGTGATTGCTTGCACGGAATTTGAATCTATGATAATACCCATAGAAGAAAAAATGTTGTCATTTAGTAAATACAATAATATACATTGTAACCAATTTGAATTGTAGATAATCTACAATTCTATAGAGGAAAATCCAGAAATGTAACACATTAATTTAATAATATTGTTGACAGTATTATTGAAATGAGCAACACAGTGGAAAATGTCATAATTTTTAATTTCCGCGTTATAAGCAATCCGCAATCCAATGCGGATATTATAGATAATGTATGTATGTAGCTGGAAAATTTAAAACTTCTATACTTCTTTTCCTTGTCAATAAAATAATTAAGGGTTTTATAAATAGTAGGTATAAACTGCAATGAAGTCGAGTCAACAGCTGTGGCCAAATGCCATTTAGCGCTTGTCTACATGTAGAATAGAAAACCAAATTATAATAATATGGAATTGACGTAAATTTTGACACTTGTCAGTGTCACCCCATACATTTTGATTTCTACTCTCTCTGTAGACAAGCGCTAAAGTGGCGTTTGGCTAAAGGCCCCAACAGCTGTAGCCAAATGCCATTTAGCGCTTGTCTACATGTAGAATAGAAAACAAAATTACATGGAATCGACGTAAATTTTGACACTTGTCAGTGTCATCCCCATACATTTTGATTTCTACTCTCTCACTCTCTCTGTAGACAATTGCTAAAGTGGCGTTTGGCTAAAGGCCCAGGGCCTTTGCCAGGGAAAAGTGTCAAAATTTACGTCAATTCCATATAATTTGGTTTTCTATTCTAAATGTAGACAAGCGCTAAATGGCATTTGGCTACAGCTGCAGGTCAGCCGGACAAATATCTGTCTGTCCAGAATGTTTTAATGCAACAATGCACATGATTGAAACAAGGTTTGATGAAGTATTTTCATTTCAGAGTGAAGACTACTTGAAGAGGTGTGACAAAGCTACCAGAGGCTGTGGTCTGTCTTGTGAGGTATATATCCAGGTCATAAGTTAATAGTGAAAAGAAATCTGCCTCGTTGACCGAGTGGGTGCAAGTGCGACTCTCGTGAGGGTCTCGGATTCGATTCCTGGGTCGGGCAAAATATTACTGGGTTTTAAAAAATTCTCAGTGGTAGCACGGAGTCTGGAATTGTGTCCCGTATATGGCAATAGGCTCACCCCCTATTACGTGGGACTCCTAACATAAAATAGTGTTGCATGGTACAGTGGCATTAAGTGCCGTAATGTGCACCTCTGCCTACCCCTTCGGGGATAAAAGGCGTGATGTTATTTAATGAAAAGAAATCTAACGAAAGAGTTTGTAGACATTATTTAGTATTTTTATTGGAGTTTTTATCCCGAAACTAGATGTATTCATGTAATGACGATCGTGGTCACAAGAATGACTGCTTCGCTAAAGATTGTGTTCCATGCTCAAATGTTTTGTAAGAAAGGGACGTTTTTATATGTTTGTATGTATCATCAGATCTATTTTACACAATGCATTTATACGCACACAGCTCAGCTGTGGGATTAAAAGAGAAAGTGTAACGATTAATTGTAATGCTGAGCAAGCTGTGAATGTAATATGTATTGTTTGCCAATACGCGGAACTTTAACACTAGCAGACTAAGTATTCAAGGAAGTGTAGTACTGGTTGAACCAACCTTTCCAATTTCTTCGTATTACTATTGCGATAAGAAATTGGCAAAGTGCGTCTCTACTTTGTTCGTTTATCTAACTTTTAAATTAATACGACACCGAACAATTCAGCTAATTAATTTACCAACCTATAGGTCTTTGTCTTTGCTATTATTTCCAAAAAAACCTTTCGTACAAATCACAAACGTATGAGAGAGCCATGCTTAGTGATACCACGGCCTCACAGAATATCAACAAGAAACAACGCTTGCGTTGTATTTCATCTTGTTAGTGAGGTTACCGGAGCCCCAATTACCCTCCTCCCCAGTCTCCCCAATCCCCGAAACCCCCACAATCCTCAAATTCCCAATTCCCAAAAGGCCGGTAACGCACTTGTAACGCCTCTGGTGTTTCAGACGTCCATGGGCGACGCCGATTACTTACCATCAGGGTATCCGTCTGCTCGTTTACCGGCTTATCACATAAAAATCTTCATAAAAGGAGCCCAGATGTCCAATTTTTAAAATAACAATAACAAAATTTCATGCTATCTACATACTTAAATTCTCACTGAAACTTCAATTTCTCTTTCAGACTACCCCACGCGTAAGGCGCTGGCGTCGCTTAGCTCTGGACGAGATCCATCGAGTTCGAGAGGACATGCCATTCACCAGGAGATCTTACAGGGACCTGGTGTCCCATGCGCGTCGGAAACTGAATCACTTGAAGAAGCAGATCATCGTCAGGTCGAGGGATGCGATGGAAGACTACAAATATTGTATAAATAGGAGGCGATTACGATAGGTTCTTGATTCTTGAGTGGGGTCGAAAGTTAATCAAAATTCTTAGTTTTAAAAACATTTTTAAAGGTTATTTGTAGACCTAAGTGTCTGATAAAAATTATAAAAGATTTTTCATTATAATACACATTTAGACACTAATCTCTTTATGAACGTATTCAAAATTTTTAGTTTGCATACTTTTTTATTTATTTTCATTCATAATATATGTCCCACCCTCACGCTCGAAGCGCTTCGCATCAAGCTTCCTTGTGCGTACTGCTAAGGAGTGATATTCTTGTTCGTATAACCTGGGTGTCTTCAAGGCCCGAGTGAATAGATTGCTTATTACGTGCTCTATCGTAGACCGCATCATCGCTTACCATCAAGCGAAATAGTTGTCAAACGTTTACATAAACGTATTTATAACAATAGAACCAATATCAAAAGTCGAACTAAATCTAAAGATTTTGAATTCAGATCGCTTACTGAAATCGGTACCTAGTTATATAGTCTGTTTCTATAAATTAATATAGTTTATTTTGAACAGTAACTTCTGACCCAAATCACTCTTATAAGATCAAAGAATCGTCTTCAGTCATCTGAGACAATAGTGTCATATTAGTTAATTTAGTATAAAATTATTCGCCATTGATTAACTAGAGTTGATCATCAGTGAAATTGATGAGATTGATATCTAACTTGTTAATTAGTCGAATAGTATTAACTATAATCTATTCTTTAATTTAGCTAATGGTTTTTTCGATTCACATGAAACCTTTGTGGTTAATTCCTCGAGATATTTTAACAAAACATCCGCACTGTCCAAAAATCCGAATTTGGACTTTCTGTAACGAACGTATAAGGTCCGAAATAAGTACAATATTATGCCATACCTCTTTATGTTGAGGTGTAGGGGAAGTTCTTATTTCAACAGTGACATTGAAGTACAAAATACGATTCGAAATGATTATATTTTAATTTCATGTTTAAGATAATATATTATCTAAATTACGTAAAATGTTTTACAGAAATGAAATTCTCACAATGTAATGCAATTGTATTCATAAAACATTATGTTAAAAATGTGAATAATTATTTTTATGCTAATTGCTTCATCCAAAAATAAACTTTGTACGTAGATGTAAGAAGACTCAAAATTGTTTAGATTTTAAATTGTGTAAAAATAATTTATTTTTTGGTTATCGAATGTAATTGGGTTATGCGATTGGTATTTTTGATTTTTATGTGTTTTTGATAAAATACAGTGTGGACTTGTCTTAAGTACTAAAACTGATTTTATTCGACTTTAATTTTTTTTTTAATAAATACAATGTTTGTACTATGACGATCGTAAATTATACGTGCTTAAATACAATGTATAAATTGTAAAATTTATATTTTTTTTATACAGTGAATGCAAAATGGATACAATTTAAAAATAAAAATGGAATAACACAAGTCGCCACTGTATTTTAAAAATATTTTATAAGTTTTAAAATTCGGTAAACAGACACACTGTGATAGTTTGTAAAATAAATGTGTAATTTAATTTGGAATTAAGTTCTAAATGTAGCTTTTAAAAATGTTTGTTGTATTTTTAACTAAATGTATTATTATTGTTGTTTGACATCTGTATTTTCGAGTAAATGTTATGGTCAAAAACTGAATTAAATTTACAATTTCATGCGAAAATAAATGAACAATTTTTAATTGCCTGTGCCATACATCTACAAGTACAATTTAAATGACATAAACTATAATGATATCTGAATTTTAGTAATCTATTGTAATTTAAAACTCAAAAACACGGGTGTAAAATAGCAATCATTAAAATACGTAAGTACAAGTTTTGTTTAATAATAAAATAAATATGAACTAATATTACGCCATCATTGTTGTTAATGTTATTGTAAAGAAATGTATTTGACAATTTATTTTTATAATAAATGTATATTTTAACATTATGTACTGTGTTTATTTTCATTTTTAATTCAATTAAATTAATTTGAAACTCATTTAAAAAAGTTACACTATTTGACGAGTAACTCGATTGATTTCAAGCCACGCTAAGAGCCTGTAACAATGAGCAGCATGCGTAACAACCAGTATAGCGTCACATATGTCGGAATACTGAAAGGCTGCTCAATAAGTCGCGCTTAAGTATAGTTCTGTCACCACTAACTCTTTGTAAAATGACAGAGATGGCACGATATTTAAGCACGACTTAAAATTGAGTAACGTTTGTATTCCGGCATTAGTCACCTGAAAAACAAACTCTTATTATTCAAAAATAAAAAAAATCTTAAATATTCCATTAAAAATTTAACACAAAATTTGACCAAGTCATTCCAGGTTTAAGGAAGCAAAATAGCTGTGCATACGTAATGATAAAGTTATTCACATCGACCTTGCGATGCAGTCACTGCATGCAAATAAATATTAATTCAATCTGAACTGATAACCTCAGGTTATCGAAGTGTACAGTCAGACACAGTTATTATTCTAGACAGAATAATACAATACTTATTTTGAGGGAAAAGGTGCAAACGAACAGACTTTATTTGAATGGGCCTCCGATAACCTCACTCACACGACGAAACACAACGCGAGCGTTGCTTCACGTCGGTTTTCTGCTAGGCCGTGGTATCACTCCGGTCGAGCCGGCCCATTCGTGCCGACGCATGGCTCTCCCACACATGTAGTCTAACTTTTTGCAATCGTAGCATAGGTAAGTGTCCCTAAAGTTAGTGACATTCCGTCACTTTTTTAAATGTTGCCCCACACTAGTATTTTCTCCTGTGTCGTGGGAACGTTATCATAACATACCAAGTTCCCACACATATGATACGCAAACTCGGAAAACCAATCTGTGGATCACACCAAGAGTTCTTCTGTGCGGAAATCGAATCCCCGACACGTTGCGCCAACCTCCGCGCCAACCGTGCAGTCATCTATGCATTAACTTGAACGCAACTGTAAGGTGGCTGATAGTGGCTAGATGCGAAGAGCTGAAGATACAGTTCGGTAGGGAGCTATTATGGAGAGGAATGCATATTACTCAGTAGTAGATGGAAACATGTAATGTCTAGCGACTCGACCCCACTGTCAAACCATTGCAATGGTTTTGTGGGGCTTAGATTATAAAATACTTACCTGTGTGATATAAAGATAAATAAATAATAATAATAAAGCGGCCTGTTAGTGATAAATTCTTGTTAAAGCTTTATATTGTCAACCACACCACAATACGTAACATGCGTGTACGAACACGTTTTACACTGGGTACGATTACTGATATTCCCCATGCGTCAACTAATAACAACATTATGATTACTATTTAATAAATAATTATCATAAATACATGCTAACTTTACTTCTAAAGCCATATTCTCATTCAGATAACGCAATGTTTCTAAGAGCCTCGACTAGATCACATTTATAAGAAGTATTAAGTATTATAAGTTATACAAAATGTTACTAAAGTTATTAATTTTTCTGTTGCCTGTACTGTGGAGGATCGCATCTTGTGTGGTAAGTATTTCCGTCTTATTTGTTGATAGATTAATTAGAAATTAAGTTATTTGTAGTGCTATTATTGTTGTGGGTCTTGGGTGGTCTAAATCAAGACGGTTAATTATCACTCCCAGTGATTAAACGTGCTGATAAACTTTCTTCTTCTATCCATAATCAATGCAACTTGAAATACTTCTTGATTAAATTCTGTGATCGATGTTTCATTGTCAAATCAACTGTAAATAAATACATTCCCCATTCAATTGGTCTACTTCTTACCAACTTAGCGTTTTGTTTTTGGTACACATATATTCACATTTATACGTTGTCTTATGTCGTGGTGACTGGGAGGTTTAAGACGCCAACTTCTTCGGGGTTCGGAACCTACCAACGGCAGGTACCAATATCACTTTTTCCGAGTTATATGTACTTTCGAAGATTATTTAGACACCGCTGACAAACGGTGAAGGTAAACATCGTGAGAAAACCTAGGGTTATAATTTCTAATTATAAGTTGGAAACCAACCCGCATTGAGCAAGCGTGGTGATTAATGCTCAAACCTTCTCTGTGTGAGAATAGGTTTTGCTCAGCAGTGGGCATTTATAGGCTGTTGATGATGATGATGATGATGATGATGATATATCTACACCATCTCTGTTATTTTCAGTCACAGAGTTAGGTACATTTGAGACAAAAATATGAGGTCTGGCAGACCCAATCCTATGTAGAAAAATTCAAACATACGTCAGCGCCTGATAGGAACAACAATAAATACTCTTCTGTATTTTATTACAGCCATCACAAACGAACGTCTTCATCCGTAAATACGAGCTGGATGTGAACTCCTCAAAGATCATGCAGAAGGATGATAGAAAGCTGATGCAGAAGTGGGCTGATGATTACCAGATCAAACGCCTGGACATCAGCATGAAGTACCGGCTGCAGATGGTGAAGCATCAGGAACATAGTTTGGGAGGCAATGGAAATGTTGTGGTAAATATACCTAACTTGGTTCTTTGATGATACGCGCGCGCCTCAAGGAGCCATCAGACCACCACAGATGGGGCCCAATAGGGCCGATGCCGATTCGGAGTCGCGGAGAACCTAACGGGTAACCGAAGCTCCGGCTCGACGTGCAGGAGAAGGAACGGGGTGGTTTTTAGTCAGTAAGAGTCTGACACTCCCTCCCGCCTCACCCAGGCGGGAGCAGTCATTTGATGATTTTCCCACCTTAAAAAAAAAGGACGGAGGTGCATGGAGTTTTTAAGAGGACTTTGCCCCTCCCATTAAAAAAACACTGCTAAGCAACTCTATCAGCAGATAGAACACCTGATGATAAGCAATTACTAACCATGTGCACTAGCAAGACTAAAGTAACATATCTTTTGAAGGAAAACTGGACCTCAAGTAATCTCACTCACATACTTACCACCAATGCCGAAAAACCGATTTTAAAGAATATGTTGAACTCGAATTCAGCCAACGAGGCAAGGCCCGAGACCGGGTTCGATTCCCAATTCGGACAAAGCATTACTGCGTTTTTAAAAATTCTCAGTAGTAGCACGGAGTCTAGAATTGTGCCCGGTATATTGCAATAGGCCCCTATAACATAAAGAGTGAAAAGTGGGTGATACATTGTACAGTGGCATTAAGTGCCGTAATGTGTACCACTGCCAACTTCGGGGATAAAAGGCGTGATGGTATGTATGTTGAGCTATTAAGAGGATACCCATAGCTCAAAACTTGATGTTTGTATTTGGACTTCAAATCACTACTTACGCTTACTTAGTGAATACACTACAACAATAAAATTAATTAAACTTTCAATTATTATTTCAGTGGGTGAACTGCCTTTACGCCCACAGGAAAGAAACAAGACGAACAATAAGGCTTTACCACGATAACGAACACGAATGCTTGAAGACTGCAGCCTCTAGAGATGTGACCATGAGAGAAAATGTGGAGCAAATTGAGAAACAGGTGACCAATGACCATAGGCTATAATACAATATTTTCTTTAACAACTAGGTATATAGGGTGATTTGTAACTCGATGTACTCCATTCCATTCCATTTTATATTGACAACAAATAAAAGGAGTTTGAGGATTGTTGGGGATTCAGGGATTGGGGTAGGGGGCGGGGGAGTTTAATTGTCTCCAGTATCCTCACTCACACGACGAATCACAACGCAAGCATAGTATAAAGAACATAAATATAAAGTTCTTTATACTATGACGCAAGCGTTGTTTCACGTCATTGTTCTGTGAGGCCGTGGTATCACTCAGGTCGAGCCGGCCTATTCATGCTGAAGCATGGTTCTCCCACATGGCTCGGGATTGGATTTCATCTACTTAACCTATGAAAAAAACAGAGCATGCGGTAAAATTGATAAGTAACTTTGTATTAATAAAACCTTAACAAAATACTTTCTTATTTCAGATAACAAATTGGAGAAAAGGTTACAGGTACTTACAGAACCTGTGCAATGACGAAAATGTAGGCAACAACAGGGCAATGAACCAGTGTTTGGTTAGATATGTGAGTAGACAGCTAACTCTCATCTCATAGGTAGAATATCACAACTCTTTAACCCGTTGAAATTCATCCCCTAAATGTGTTCATACAAAAGTAGTCTCTAAGCATTGGAAATAAGGTCTATAATGTAGGTAGTGGAGAGTGGTCACCGGTGACCGTTTGGGGATCTATTAAGGAAAATAGTAATATTAAGAGATTTACAATGAAATCTTGGTATTGCTCTACTGATCAATAATAATAATAATAATAATAAAAATCTTTATTTTCTCAAAAATACTCTACGGATACAAATTATATAATATGTTACAATTAAGAGACTGGTGTCTGTTAAAGGTATAACCTGTGTTACAGATCACCAGGCCCGGGTGACCCCCGGAGACATTGAACAGTATTAAGTATTTACTTAACTAAATAAAATGGACAACATTGTATGAGTGAGTATTTACTGTGGGTGTGTAACAACGTAGTGTGAGTGCGTGTGTATGTGAGTGAGTGAGTTGATGTGTATTATGTGTGGGTGTGTATAGGGAAGTGAATGAGGTGGAAGTGTTGATATGAATGTAGTGATTGATCATCAGTTGTAGCTTAGGAAAGTGGTCTCAGAATTTTTTCAGTCTCCTCATAGTCTAGTTTAATTAGCCAGTCGCTGACGCTTTTTTTACATTTACTTTTGGTGAGAGAATGAATGGTTAGCTCTTTATTTATTTTGTTATATAGGTATGGGCCTAAAAAAGTAAAGAAGTTTTGAGTGAAGCCAAAATGTTTTCTTTCTATATGGCAGATGGTAGTAAGTCTTCTCCTGCTTGTAGAATTATCCGAATTAAATGGTAGTTGAGAGTGCATTTTTAGAACGGTGTACAGGATGAAAAGCTGGCGAACTGTCAGAACATTGAATCGCTGATATAGATCATAGGTTGGGTGACGGAAAGGCAGGAATAAACTTACTTTAAGGATGGCCCTCTGGGCTCGTTCTAACTTGAGTAAGTAAGATTTAGCTGCACCACCCCACGACGTTATGCAATAGGTAAAGACGGATTGACATAAGGCATAGTATACAGTTTTTATTATTGCTATCTGCTACATGGCGAAGATTCCTAAAAATAAAGATTAATTTGCGGGTTCTGGTGGTTAGTGCCTCAATATGTAATTGGAAGTCGAGTTTATCATCGATAATAACACCGAGGTATTTGATGTTGTTTGTTTTTTTTAGTTCAGGACAGTGACATGTTCCTGGAGCAGTTATGTGGCAAGTGTGTGCGGTTAAATGCAAGTTTGTATGTTCCTGCGTTCTTTTACTATAAGTCATATACATAGTTTTCCCAACATTGAGTGTGAGTAGATTCTTATTGAGCCATCGAGTTACTTCGTCAAGACCCTGTTGAGCCCATCTAAATGCGTCTTCCCATGTGTCACTATGAAAAAGTAGGGCAGAATCATCCGCAAATGATACGATTTTTCCTTTCGTCAATTCTGTTTGACATAGATCGTTTATGTAGACTAGAAACAATGACGGGCCAAGGATACTACCCTGTGGGACGCCACATTCAATAGGTAATTCATCGCTTACCCAGTTCTCAACTTTAACCACCTGGGTTCTTTCATGCAAGTAGTCCTCGTATAATTTCAGCTGTAACCCTCTTACTCCTAGGTGGTCAAGTTTTTTGATCAAGATGGGAATAGATACTGTGTCGAATGCCTTTGCTAAGTCCAGATATATCGCTATTGTTTTATTCTTTTTATCTAAATTTGAAACAATATAATCTGTTACCAGATGTACTGCGTCAGAGGTAGATCTTTTGGCACGAAAACCAAACTGGGACTGAGATAGGAGATTATTTTTTTCTAGAAATGTTACTAGCCTATTATTCATCAGCCTTTCTATAATTTTGGACATGGTTGGCAGAATAGAGATAGGTCTGTAGTTGTTGACACAGCATCTATCCCCACTCTTGAAAACTGGAGTAATTTTAGCCTTTTTAAAGGCTCGTGGAAAGACTCCCGTTTCGAAGGACTTATTGCATATGAACGTTATTGGTTCAGCAAGAATATTTACATATCTTTTCAACAAACTGCCTGATATATTATCAAGCCCTACCGCACAATCATTTTTTAGATTTAAAATAAGAGATTTAACTTCATCTTCGTCTGTGGGTAGAAGAGCCAGTGATTGAGGGAGTGAATCTGTATCACTGAAGTCAGCTTGGAAAATGGGGTTATTTTGCTTACATTTTCCTATTAGAGTCTTTCCTATTGTTGCAAAATATGAATTTACTTCGTTGACAGATTTAAGAGGATCTTCGGGTGAAATTAGTTGAGTGGATTGTTCATTCACTCTTTTCGTAAACGTTATGTCTTTGATAATATCCCATAGTTTCTTGTTATTTTTACCTGCGTTGTTTATTCTATCTTTCAATTATTTTCAATGGAATCGGTTCGACCACTACATCAGCAGTTTACGAATATTACAATCAAATATACTAATTTTGGTTAGTAATGGATAGTAAAAAAATGATAACTTAAAGCAGCTCTCAAATTGAATGGTATTATCTGTACTGGAGTCATAACAAAGTTAAAAGTGGGTGTTAACATTGTACAGTGGTATAATGTAACCTATGCCTACATCTTCGAGGATAAAAGGCTTGATGTATGTATGTAGGTACCTATTTACATTACTATCCCTATCATTTCTCTGATTTACGAAACAAAAAAAAACAACTACTGTACATTGTTCAATCCGGGAATCGAACCAGACACTTATTGTTTGACATTCACGCCTTCGAATAAATCAACAGTGATTCATTAAAAGCGATAATCATAAATATTGTTTCAGATGCAAAACGATAATTTTGACGAGGTAATCCATAGACTAGTGATTCTAAAACTTAGTACTATGAATGACCTGTACGCCTACTACAACTCCTCACTACAGGAGTTGGAGGAATGTCTGAAGACACAGCTGTCCATGTACCTGGAACGAATACGAGCAGTCATGGATACTCTGTATAAATGCTACAATATTAAAACGTGATTGTGATGCTCTTAACTTAGCATAATTGTGTTTTAGTTCGTAATTATTGCGTAAGTAGCAAAACTTCGTAAAGTCGTTCAAAAAATATTCTAAACAAAAATACTAATATCTTATAAATTATGTTCACTATACTATATATTATCAAATTTATTGAAATGATTGTTTTATTTCGATTTTATGAAATAGTGGCTTGATGGCAGAGTGGTCGCTAATGCGACCGCCAGACAAGGGGTCTAGGGTTAAATTCCCGGGTCGAGCAAAGTATTATTGGGTTAAAAAAAAACTCAGTAATAACACGGAATCTGGAAATGTACCCGGTATAGGCTTCATTAACCCCCTGTTGCATGGGACTCATAACATAGTGAAAAGTAGATGTTACATTGTACAGTGGCGGTGCCGTATTCCTCTGCCTACCCCTTCGGGATAAAAGGCGTGATGTTAATATGATGATGATGATAATGATATAGTAAACTATTTCGTTGTTTTTTTGCTATTTTAAGGTCTTAATGCCAACTATTATTATATTAAGGTAATTTGTGAATTTGTGTTCTTTAATTTGGTATACTTACTATGCTTATACAGTATAATAAAGGTACTTATTTTTAAGGAATTTCAATCATAATATTAATAAAAAAACAAAACATATCGATATAAAAATCTCTTTATTGCTCTTTCGTTGTTAAATAATACTCGAGGGTATAAAAATATATATTTACATCTTGGTACTTAACTTACTGACTATTTATTTATTTTATACAAGAAATTATTAAGGGACTGTTTGACCATATTTAATCGACTGTAAGGAAGTCAATACAAATATTAAAGGGTTGAGTTAATTTTGACACGTTTCATAACATTAAAAAATACATCAAATTATCAGTCAAGTTACTACTACCAGATACTTAAAAACATTGTGAATAAAATATCCCTAATGTTGAGATAGAATTTATATTATTATAAACGTTTGTTCGCACCAACTTTGGCTAGTATAGTGTCTGTCAGTGTTTTTTAAAATAAAATGCACAACAATTTAGTGTGCCCAGTTGTTATAATGTATACAAATTTTAGTTTAACTTAAATTTTAACTGATGAATAACATTGAATATTTGACAATTCTACCATACTAAAATCTGTCTAACATCAATTTTATTCTACAGTTAAGAATTATCTGATGATTGAAAAATCGACCCACAGCGGCCTTTTCAAAATCGTATAAAATATAAAAAAATCTCTTTGAAAAAGGTCAAGTCAAAAATGCTACGTATATTAAGTATGTAATATACTAATTACTTGTTAATAATAACGTTATAAAAATGCGCCAGCGCATTCCTACAAAATATAGATTTTATAAAAAATACACTATAAAAATATGTATCTTTCAAATTGGTCCCTTAAACATATTAAGAATACATTACAAAAAATCGTCCTAAAAATATTGTAATTTGTACAATAATTGTAATTTACAATATATTTATATGGCAGTTATTATTACGAGAAAGGTTGGAAATAATTTATTTATTTATTATTTATATATTACAGGTCTAGAATATAAGTCTAAGAGATTGGCTAAGATTATAATGAGATTCAGGATAATAGTAAAATGTAAAATGGAGAGTGTGAAAAAAAAATTACTGTATCAGTTTTATAGACTAACTGTAAAAAGTTATTTTCTTGATTTTCTTTTTTGGAGCAGTACTTACAATTCCTTTCTTAACAAAAAGCGTTGCCCCACACTAGGATTTTCTCCTGTGTCGTGGGTGCGTTAACAAACATACAAGTTCACATACACATGACACCCAGACCCAGAACAACAATCTGTGGGTCACACAAAGAGTTGCTCCGTGCGGGAATCAGGGCCCAGCCACCGCACCAATCGTAACGTCAATAATGACCTATAGAGAATTCGGTCAGTTGTTTTGTTTTATAAACTTAGAAAAAAAATATTTCTCTTATTTAAAAATAAGCTCACTTCTTCGCCATAGGAATCTACACTTCGGAATGAACAAATACCTTCACTTTTAATTTTTATGTTGACGTTCAAAAGTACCTTTCTGGACTAATTGAAATAAATGATTTTGACCTTGACTCATAATTATTACTATATCATTACGCTTGTTCTTAAGGAAGTACGTATATTTAAATAACATCTACTGTTCTAACTCTCCAAAAAAGAAATATTCAGAAATATCAATTTTAATATAGTTGCTACGAAGAATTTGTTCCTAAAATAGAATAAAAATGGACGTTGTCAATGTATCACAATGTATAGAATATAAGTTTTTTTTTAAATGGTAACAAAATATAATTATGTTATATAATATCTTCTGACAGTCTTAGATTGAGTTTCGATAATTACTCATTCTGTAACATTTTCGAAAAACTTTAAAAAAACCGAAAATAATTTTAAATATATTTGCGACATTGCAACAGTAATTTCCAAGCAACAAGACCTTGTAACTTGTTAATTATATTTGTAACAAGAATGAATGTAACATTCCTCAAAATGTTACAGATTGAGTAATATCGATATATGTTATAACACATTGCCAACATGCACTACCTAGTTACCATATATTTACACTTAGTATTTATATCTTCCACCATTTTGTTTTGGACATATCTGAAATAAAAAAAATATCACTTTTAATTAATTAATATTCCAGTAGTCGACTGTACGGCTAATGAAGTCAGTCACGAGGCTAATGCCGGAATACTGAAACGTTACTAAATTTTAAGTCGTGCTTAAATATCGTGCCATCTCTGTCATTTTACAAAGAATTTGTAGAGATAGAACTATACTTAAGGTGGATGGATGATGATCTCAAATGCCATTTTGTCGCTAGATGGCGTAACTTCCACAATTTGGAACATTTTCACGTTTTACGCCTAACTTCGAAATCTTTAATAGATAACTTTATTGTTCGCGAAACCTAGGGCATTAACTTGATTTTTTAGATAGTCGTTGTGCTTGTTATCTGGTCTCATACAAAGATTACTACAAAATAAAGATTTAGCCGCTTCACTTTACTGTTTACACACACATGCAAAGTAAATAGTAGTAACTTTCGACACCACCAGATGTCGTTATACTATAAAAATATTAATTTACATACTTGAAATTATGTTCCCATCTATTTCTTATTAGTATAATAATTGGTCTAAGTATACTTTTGTTTCTAGACTCGATATCTAGCAAATTATTCATAAAATTTATTTTAGGTAAAATAGGTACCTACACTGTACACTATATACTATACCCCTAGACCCTACACCTGTCGCGGAGAACCTAACGGGTAACCGGGGCTCCGGCTCGACGTGCAGGAAAAGGAACGGGGTGGTTTTTAGTCAGTAAGAGTCTGACACTCCCTTCCGCCTCACCCAGGCGGGAGCAGTCATTCGATGATTTTCCCCCCTTAAAAAAAAAAAAAGACCCTACACCTAAAAAATTGTTGTAATGTGACTGAACCTAAATTGTAATGTGTAAATAGTGACTTTACTAAATAAATAAATGAAAGACTATTTATTCCATTGTAAAGCTTTTTATTGTACCTTACTATAAATTAATAATATTTATTTAGTAAAACTAAGTTAACATTTTCATAAAATAATCGTTTTATTTACTCTCACTACATTTACTTAGATAGTTTCCATCTGATTCAAACCATGGAGTCATACCACCATACAAAGATAACATAATTTTTTAATTGTTTTGATATTTACTTAGTTTTATAATTTTAAATTTAGTATTATAAAGAATTATTATGTATGTAGATCACAATATAAATAACATCATAAGTATATATAACGGCACATGTAAGTTTGCAAGTATCTTACATTTATTTATTTCAATTAATTAGTATAACATTACAGTCATAAAACCAACAACAAGTGGTTGCTAGCTAACCATAACATTTATTTATGTTTCAAGAATACATGTTTATTATACAATTTTGAACTTAAATAAATAATGTTTTACAATTGAATTGTTAGGCTGGTACCTAAATGCATGAGGCAAACTTATATACACAGAAAAATCTTATGGACTAACAAAATAACACAAACTATACATCGCACAAGTGGTTGCTAGCTAACCATAACATTTATTTATGTTTCAAGAATACCTATTTATTTTACAATTTTGAACTTCAATAAATATTGTTTTACAATTGAATTGTTAGGCTGGTACCTAAATGCATGAGGCAAACTTATCTACACAGAAAAATCTTATGGACTAACAAAATAACACCAACTATACATAGCTACGTGCAAAAATAGCTTATTAATTATTCTATAATGTTCACACTGCTGAGAATCAGGCTACACAAAGCAAAGTGCCGGCTTGGATTCGAACAATCAACTCGTACCACCATACAAAGATTCTTATATATATTATAATAAAATGTCTTCTTTTTGCAGTCACCGCCGCCACCGCCGCGCCATATCAGTCTTCTGTTTATCGCTTTTTACTTCCATTTATAATTTCCGTGCAATCTGAATCAAATGCTGGAAGACGCAGTTTTCGCTGCAACAAATGAATTTACACAGTTTTGTTAGACTATTCTTACTGAACCCACACCTCAGAGCCCTGAGAAATAAGTTAGGAAATGAATAAGACTTATATTTTTATACCTTTTAATTCCTTGATGTCCAGACATTTAGCATTTTTCTCAACTCTTCTCAAAATAATTTCTGGCAGTACACATCTTTTAAAAACTGTCACCAACTTCGGCATCATAGTACTGATAAATTCCTCATTCTGGTTAACTTCTATGACAGTCAATGGTTGGGTGACTGATATAGCAAATGAAGTAACATTTATTCATTTTGGTAATTCGCAATTGACCCTGGACCTAGAATCAAAATAATAATAGCTGTTAAAAAGAAACAATCCAAGAAATACATTATTTTTATACATACATACCAAGAAATAATGATATTTGATAATAATGAAATAATAATAATGATATTTGATAATAATGATATACTTACTTGATAATAGTAATTATGCTTTTTGTTCATAACTAAAACATCATTTTCCAAATGAATAGGAAAATTTCTATTTTCTGATGCTTATCGAATATTTTGAATATCTGTAAAAAAGAAAAGTTTTTAGGCTTACGCTACTGAACCCTATTTAAAATATTCACGCAACAAAAACTAGTTATTTGTATATTTTTATTATCAAATAATTTTACCATCAGGGCTAGCTACTAAGAATCCAAATTCTTCATTAATGAAAAGTCCTGATGGCCTGACTATTTGCCATATTATTGCATAAACATGCTCTATGCAACATGTTCATTTTGTTTTCCATACATCATATCTTTAGTACAAATATTATTTTTATAGAGAATGCATTTCACATGATTGTGACATGGTGTGGCATTGGTTGGAGTGTAGCAAAGGGTGTGCAAGGAGTTTAGGACTTTTAACTCGTCGAGTACCGGTTTTATAGACACAATTAAAGAACAATAGGTTGCGGTCACCGGTGACCGCTTGGTGTTTGACAGTTTAATTATTTTTTCATCAAAAATGATAATTCTTATAAGTGGCTCGGTTTTTCATTTCTATCGTTTAGTATACCTAAAAATAAGATGACTATTATCTAGGCACTTTTTATCTAGATAAAATTCGCCTGAAATTGAGCCCTAAAGGTCAGTTGGGGGAGTATGTAAAACACTTTTTGGGCACCCCAACACATTTGGTTAGGTTAGGTTAGAACTGTGACCCTCATAAGGCCTAGATAAAAGGTGTCCAAATGATTTTCGCTTTATTATTAGGTATACTAATCAGTGAAAATGAAAAACTAGCCATTTATAAGAATTTTCATTCTTGATGAAAATGAAAAATAAAGTCCTAAACTCCTTGCACACCCTTTGCTACGCTCTGACCGTGGCAATACGACGTTTGCATACCTAAAATGAACAAAGTGACAATCATTATTCTGCAATTTGTTAAAACTTTCTCAATACATAATAGGTACTAACCTTATCGAGCATAACGACCTTTTCTAGAACATAAACCAATGAGTATCAAATAAACTTCACTCACGTAAATCTGATTTGAAATCCTATAGTAATCTGATTTCTTCACTATAGATCACTAAAAGAACTTTCATGATGTCTTATGAATGCGGCTTGCACCTTTTTCCTTGAATTTTGCGGCCCTGAATACATAGTATGTCGTATACACGCAAGTTTATTAGTCGGGTTCATTTTAGGCAGTTCAGTTGCAATTCAATCTCAACATCAAATGTATCTTATTTATGAAATGTTTCAAGAAATTTGTAATAGCAGATCTAATCTAACACCACCATCAAGTTGTCAAGTGCAGTCAACACAGAACATATATACCCTAAGGGCAGTCAAGTTCTATTAAGCAGTGTTGCCAATTGCCAACACGACTAATACAAAATCTGGGAGACTGCTATTGAATTAAAATGTCAAAATTATTCTAAATACTATAAAACTATGCTAAAATACTGTGCTAACATTCTTCAGTGTGAAATAAAACATCTTTTAATTTGAATCTTTAATAATCAAGAAAATTCGAGTAAGGAGCATTAAGAAACATTATAATACAAGTATCCGTACTTGTTGTTATATGTACTAGTGTTTATTAATATATTTTTTTAAAGTAATAATAAACATGGTAAATATCCCGTTTAAGTTGTAATGATACTGGTGTTTATTGTTTCGTGTGGATTTCATGACAAAGTCTCTTCGAGCCCCTTTTCTTTAGTAAATAAAGCTCGTAGTAAAGTTTCGTTGCTAAATTGGTGTACGGATTCTTAAAATTATACCAAAAGGTTAAATTTTGCGTTGAAGTTATAGTAATACCACATTCTATTGCCATTTATTTTTTAATTCAAAGTACGATCTTTTAAAATGTATGGTACAATCTTCCAAAAAAATAAAGTTGGCAACCCTGCTTGACGCACTTTGTGTATGTGTATACATGCTAATAATACTAGTAAAATAAGCAATTAAGAAAAATTTAAATGGTTTGTCTGTATATACTAATGTTGCTGGTTTCACATGATTTAAATATGATTTAATCAATAGATGTACGTAGTACCTACGTTTCATTATTGTGTAGGTAGCTTCGCTAATCACCTGATTTATAACTTACTTATACATCAAATTCTATTCTCTGATTTTATTCAACCCAAACCAATGGATTAGTACCTAAGAGTATCAGAAAATGTGTTATCAGTATCTTCTTACATACATTACAAAGATTTTTGAATCTGCAGTCAAGGAATGTTAGTGTGTACTAGTACAGGCAAGCTGCAATCACGGCGTCCTGACCTATCGGTTGACGCAGGTCCTCACCAGACCAAGGACACATCGCAGAGATATTTGTTTCACTTTATGTAAAGCATTAATTCTCATCCCATTATAAAAAACATTTTATCAATCGTTAATTTTAACTCCGTGGGTAAACCCGCGCGCCCGATGCTAACTTGCTAGAAACACAATATTCTGGAAATGATTCGCAAGTTGTCAAGATTCAAGACATCACGCATGGACGGAACGGCAACAGCGCACGCGCTGCTTCTTGACCGGCAACGTCGCATTCCCGCACGCGTCACGTCACATTGATGCTTGTTCGAATTATCGGACAGCGCCATCTATTATGAATGTTTACCAATTGTAAACTCGGAACACAACAGCAACCAAATTTCTCGGTGGTTCTATAAATTTCTATCAGATGGCGCGATTCAGGTCACTCACACATGCAAAGACTTATCGTTTTTTATTCGGTCTAATTCTCCTAGAAATACAATTTTTTAATAAAATTTGGGCTATACACAAACATAATACATTATAAAGTCTCATTATAGTTCCTTTTTTTCTGCAGAAACTGTTTATTTACGAAGATTTCCGCACCTGAAAAATGTATGGCGAGGTCTAACTAGGCATCCACCTTAAGCACGACTTAAAATTGAGTAGCGTTTGAGTATTCCGACATAAGAGGCATCAAATGTAATGTTCTCTCAAGTAGGTTTTGGATATTCACTTACCATCAGAGTACTCCTAACCCTGAAGGTCTGGGTGGAGGTTCCGGCGTGTCTGGTGAAGGCGGTTTGAATGTGCTGCCCTGTAAATAGAAAAAAAATGTGTAAAAGAAAATCCTTTGTCGACTACTATGTGAACTAGAAGTTTCATGTAGGAGAGCCGTACATCATTAGGTAGAATGCAGGAGTACTGAGTACTAGCTGAGCTACTACGTTATATTACCTGGAAACCCAAGGCAGCTTCTAGCGGCGTGGGTGAGTCGCCGCCCAGCGTGGCGTAGTCACCAAACCTCTCCGTCGTCCGACTGCCTTGTATCGTAGCGTAAGTGTTGTCCGTCTGCAACAACATAATTATTACAATTATATTTATATAAATTATTTTAATTAATTGTGTGTTTGAAAAGGTTTTTATTACTACATAGTCGCCATTGTTTAAAGTGGTTGGTAAGTGTAAACTGTAACCAACATTAAATTGTTGTTACATTTTGAGTAATGTTATAAACGAAGATTCATATTTTAATCATATTTTAAGTAGTTTTAGACAGTAGTAGCAAGGTGTCTAGAATTGTGCCCGGTATATGGCAATAGGCTCACCCCCTATTACATGGGACTCAGAACATAAATAGTGCAAAGTGGGTGTTACATTGTACAGTGACACCTCTGCCTACTCCTTCGGCGATAAAAGGCCTTCAATAATAATTATACGATGTTTCTTAGTATAATAAAGTAATAAAATATAAAATCGAGTGGGACATGCGACACACAAATTTACTTCGAACTTTACCCTGCAGTGGGACGATGATGGCTGTAAAAAAAAAACACAACACCTCACCTTTTATCCCCGAAGGGGTAGGCAGAGGTGCACATTATGCCATTGTACAACTTTTCACTATTTATGTTATGAGGCCCATGTAATAGGGGGTGAGCGTATTGCCATATACCGGGTACAATTCCAGACTCCGTGCTACTACTGAGAATTTTTTAAAACCCAGTAATACTTAGGCAGACCCGGGAATCGAAATATTCGGGAAACGGGAAAAAAATAACTCTGTACATACCGGTGCGGGTTCAGCTGCCGGTTGTTCATTCAAGTCTCCGAATACATTCATGGTGAGCTCCTGTTCTTCATAGGGCCGGAGTTTGGTCTCCAGCCACAATGGGTTCTCTGTCGTTGACAGTTCCTCTAGTATACGGCGTCTGGCTAAACTGTCTCCTTTACTGGATTGTAGGGACGGCGGTGGTATGACCCTGGAAAGGAGAATTGTTTACATTAGCATAAAGTGTCGTATTCAATTCAATTCAATTTATTTATTTATTTATTCAGATAATACCATTCAATATGGTTAGTAAAGACATATACAACTTATAAACTAGTATTAGTACATCAAACCTCATCATATAAAATAAAAATAATTTGTCATAGGTAATATAATGATAATACAGTAACAATACAGACGACTTTCACTACTTCTGGGCACGGCTTATAGGCAACACTTGCGTCTTCGTCCAGTGTTTTAGCATAAGGCCATCAGTCCTATCCGCCACGGTATTAAATAGCAGTAATTGTCTACTGAGAGGCGACTGACATGAATTGAATATTTAGCAGATTTATTTTAGCATAGTTACTTACCAATGTTTAAGACATGCGCAGACAACGATAAAGGTGACGATGCCAGTAAACAGTACGATGAGGAGTGCTATCAGGGCTGCTAGGGCTGGGTCGAAGCTGTCTGGAGCTGGAACAGAATTAATGTGTTTATTCCAAGTGGTTTATACTAAAATAGCGGACCCAACAGACGTTGTCCTGCATATCCACTTGAATGTATAAACAAAAATTCATTCAAATTAGTTCAGTTGTTTAGAATAAATAACCTAAACATCGACTGCAGCGCCATCTGCCGGGCTGATTTGTGAATCTAAACTATTCCCAGATCCCCTTGAAAATACACAAAAAATTTCATCAAAATCGGTCCAGTCGTTTGAGAGAAGTTCAGTGACATACACACTCACAGAAGAATTATATATATAAAGATGTACTTGTCAAAACCTTCCATTTTGCAAAAGAAACAGTCTACATGTTTCTGTCATATTTTATGCTATTTCTTACTAAGCGTGTGAAGATTAGCGACCGACTAATTTCATTGGAAATATCTAAATTAGACTGCACGGTTGGCGCGGAGGCTTAACAACAGGCTGCCACGCAACGTGTCGCGGGTTCAATTCTTTGCGTGATCCACAAATTGTTGTTTCGGATGATGTGTGAGGTGTATATGAACTTGTATGTTTGTAAACGCACTCACGACACAGGAGAAAACCCTAGTTTTTTATGGCATAAGCCGGTAAACGAGCAGACGGATCACCTGATGGTAAGCAATCGGCGTCGCCCATGGACACCCAGAACACCAGGGTAAACCTAAACCTAGTGTAGAACCTAGTGTGGGGTAAAAAATGATGGACCCTACGTGGATATTAGAAGAAGAAGAAAAAGCTTGAGAAGATCAAAGGTAGATGAATATTCTTCATCAACATCGACGAAGTTGCTGGTATATCTAGAAGTCGGGTACAGACATGTCAGATCGAGTAAAAATTATACAATTTTTAAACCCAGAGTTCTACTACACTCTCCATGTCTTCAACCCTTACCTTTAGAAGTAGCACTGGCTGCAATAAGTGTCTCCACCCCGTACTCCTGGTAGACGTCCTTCAGCTGGTCGTACTTGGAGTCGATGGTCTCCAGCACCTTCTCCACGGGCAGCACTTGGTATGTGTTCGGGTCTACTGCGTGTAAGTGGATTTCACACCTGGAATTGTGAGGAATTGAATTTGAACAGAGATTTTACTTAATATTAATCTGTCATCTAGAGAATGTATAAGAAAGAACTGTGCGATAAAAACGGGATTTGAATTACGAAGCAAGTTCATAGTATTTTTTATTCTCGTTCAATATTCAAATTGATAATGTATTTTGCTAAGTGTCGAAATGAAGTCGAATTAATTTTGGAATATAAAAAGTCCAAAGGACTAGCAAGGTCGCCGGTCACATTTCACCGCAGACTTGGGACATTAGTAGATGTACTTATGTGTAAAATGTCTAAAATCTGTACGTGTCACCTGTTTTAGCATGTGAAATAAAGGTTTTCTTTCTTTCTTTCTATTTGCCGAAACACCGATGACTATTGGGGTAGACGTGTTCTGGAGTGGAGATCGCGTCTAGGCAAACGCAAAGGGGACCCTCCAACTAGGTGGATGGCAGTGGTTGGATGCGTAAAGAACAGGCTGGTAATCATGAATTTTGAAATACCCACCTTATATGGCCATAATTTTATTGTGATTTATCAATACTGTGACAATTATCTCACTCCTGTTATATGGTGACACTTCGCAATAGTCTCGTGTCAAATGATAACATTAGGTACTTATGTTCACGATTTTTTCCATCCAGTCAGTACCTGGGTACAGTAAAAGTATTTAATAAACATGTCTGCTCACCAGTCGTCGTACCGGGTGTCGGCCTGCACGAGCGGCAGGCGGCGGCCCGGCACCAGGCGCGCGGCGCCGGCCGCCGCCAGCCGGCGCCACACGCCGCCCACCGCCGCGCTGCAGCTGCGGGACACCACCATGCGGATCAGGGAGCTGCGGTCTATTATCCATACCTGCGACGTAACAATATACGAGGTCATATTACAAGCTTGGACTCGTTAAATTATTATCATACTAGCTTTTACCCGCGGCTTCGCTCGCGTCGCAAAAGGATAAAAAGTAGCCTGTGACATAATAAAATATCAATACACACCGGCCATCTATACCAATACTTTTGTTTTCCCTCGGGAATATCAAATTTTTTCCGGGATAAAAAGTACCCTATTATTTAATCCGGACTTCTAATTTTACGTCTGCAAAAAATCAAAGCCATCGATTTAGTAGTTACGGCGTGAAAGCGGAACAAACAATTAATATTAGTAAGGATATTTAAATCAAAGTAGTAATTTAAATTTATACAACTTAGCCATTACCGTTATTACTGAACTAACCTCATGGCTGAGTTGGACAAAAATCGATAAACCTTTTATTCCAAAAGATGGATTATTTATTTTTAAATAGCAATTAACAGAAGAAACAGAAAGGAGAACGAGTGTGCCTCACTACCCTTGAACATTTAAGAGTTTGAGTAAAACTGGGTCAGAACTAATTTTCACACCGTGCGTACTCTACCATGGGTACCATAACAACTGACTAAAAAGGACTGCAGGACTTGAAAAAAGACTTAACAGAGACTGCCAGAAAGAACTGTAGCGCTTATTGATGACAGACTCAAACTTTTTAAACTACGATCACCATCTTGGCTACCAAGCATGGAGATTATGCAGACATATATGACTTCTCTTGAGTATGTAAGTACAGGATAGGTCTATAGTCCTAGGTTATAGTACTAGGTCCATAGTCCTGCAACGGACTCTCACAGGTTTTTTTTATAGGTGTATGTAGCAATAGAATAAAAGCAGGTACTAACGTAGACTTGTGCCTTGGCCTGTCTGTGTGGCGGAGCGAGTTCCTGCGCGATGATGTCCAGCACGAACCGGTCCTGGTTGTACTCCGCCATGTAGTGCGCCGTCATCAAGATACCTGGGGGACATGTTTAATTACTTACGTGTAGAAAAAAATGTGGTATATTTTTGCTAGAACTATAAACCAGGCATAAAACTAAGAACAGTGTGATTGTCGGGACTTCTAATACTTCCGGAAAGTTAATAATGCTTTTCGAAATTAATATTGTGATTAATTTTTGTAGATAAAACTTTAACAACGGGACTTATAAAGTAACCAATGGAAAAAATTCTACTCCGTTTCGCCAGTCACCTTTACCTTTTTTTTAAGGGGTAATCGTTTCAGAAATCGTCAAATGACTTCTCCCGCCTGGGTGAGGCGGGAGGGAGTGTCAGACTCTTACTGACTACAAATCACCCCGTTCCTACTCCTGCTCTTGGAGCCCCGGTAACCCGTTAGGCCTTCCGCGGCCTCAGCCCTACTGGGCCCCGTTACACATGTGTTGCGCTGATTTAATATGTCGGCTAGTTTGCGCCCCAATTAAAAAAAACAAATCTGTATCAAGCGCTCACCATCTTGACTAATATTAAACGGCGACGGGACGACACTGCCACTGGACTGCGAGGCTCCAAACTTGTACAGATTGGAAGCTGCCACCATGTACACCAGGGTACCATTCTCGTCCAAATCAGGGTCCTCAGCCACCACTGAGATTACTGGCTCGTTTACTCGCGCTGTGTGTTTTATACCTGTAATTAAAAATAAACACCTTGTTTATATTTTATGCGCGATTTCAGCGGTGTTGAACAGTTGCTTTAGCTAATAAAAAAAAAGAAATCCAATTTTTTTTTGATAGTTTCAGTAGTGTAAACGTAAATTCGTAAAAGACACACATACAGAAAATTGAATTCACAATCACACATAATATTATGAATACGTTTAAAAGTTCACAAAATAATTATGTTATCATACCCACCTATTCGTCACTAGAGGAAGGATGGAATCTTTGATAAGCATAGTTTAATATTTAGCCTTCTAACTTACGAAATAGAATTCATTTAAGGAATGCCTTAAAATACAGATTTTTTTAAGGGGGGAAAATCATCAAATGACTGCTGACGCCTGGGAGAGGCGGGAGGGAGTGTCAGACTCTTACTGACTAACAACCACCCCGTTCCTACTCCTGCACTTCGAGATGGAGCTCCGGTAACCCGTTAAGTCCTCCGCGGCTCCGTATCGGCATCAGCCCTACTAGACCCCATCTGTGGTGGTCTGATGGCCCGTACGCTCGGGTCTGTTTCTGGTCGGGCGGCGAGTCAAACATTCTCGCCGTCCACAGGCCCGCACTTACGGTGGCCGGAGATCGTATAACATACTGACCTGCATAATAAATCTTGTGCTGGAACTTGGGCTCATTATCATTTTCATCCAGCACCCGCACCTTCACGACTGTAACGCTGGGGTCCTGGCCGTCAGTGTTGTTGTCCACGGAATTCAAGATGGCCGCCGCATGCTCTAGTATCGGGTTATTGCTTGCGTAGAGCGTGAATGAGTATTCTGACTGCTTCTCTCTGAAAATGAAGAATGTTATGTCAGGCTAGTTTTTAAATTGAGACCATGCAGTGAATTTGGTTTTATTGGATCATTAAATGTACAACTTTCTTTGATCTCAAATCTAATCTAATCGAACATACTGATCCCTTTATGATAAGCAATCGGCGGTTGTGAACATTCACAAAATTAGGAGTTATAAATCCGTTGCCGGCTTTTTGGGGAATTGGAGATGGCGATAGGTTTGGACTTGGTAGCGAAAGGCTAAACTCAACGCAATTGTTGTTTCACGCTGGTTTCCTGTGAGACCGTGGTATCACTTTGGGCTAAGGGTCCATACACATACACACATTTCCTACACATATCTGCGATGGACGTCGCATCGCAAATATATGCGACCTCCTTCTACGCATCGCAAGGATCGCGTATCAAAATCTTATCTTCCCAAAATCTTCTTTGTTTCTTTGTTCTGTATCTCCTAAGGAATAACAGAAGTGCACACTTCTTTTTAAGATCCATATCACGACCTAGTTTTGAATATAAAATACGTTTAGTACGGTTGACGGTCGTCGAAGGAATGATCAACTTGGGAGACGCCTTGTCGCACCAAATCGCATCGCATTGCAGTGTCGTGTACGATTAAATTATTAGAAAAATATTTTATTTTATAGAAACTGGCCAAATGCGAGTCACTTATTCTACTACATTTTTACACCAAGACTCTTTTACACATCAGTTATATCTCTTATGAATGTTTGCCCCTCACCTGTCGAAGCTGATATTAGCCCGGATGACTCCCTGTGTCCTGTCGACGGTGAAGGCTCCCTCCTGGTTCCCCTCCAGCACGTGGTAGTATACCTTGCCGTTCTCCCCAGAATCCTTGTCTGTTGCTTTTACTGTACCTGCAATTATTAAAGGAAATTATTGATATAAGTAATGGGTGGAAAATGTTAAAGATTTGTTATTTGATAACAAGTGACGAACTATTACACGTCTGTAATATATCGTTGAGCTAGTAGACATAAATAATTAATTCAATTTTATTTTTAGAGTCTGTTGGTTGTTTCTAAAGATTTCGTATAATTTTTTTTTAGCTTATTCATGTTACATTTACACCACTTACTGCCTCGTTGGCCGAGTGGTCGCAAGTGCGACTACCGGGCAAGGGGTCTCGGGTTCGTTTTATAAATTCTCAGTTGTAGCACGGAGTCTGGAATTGTGCCCGGTATATGGCAATAGGCTCACCCCCTATTACATGGGACTCATAACATAAATAGTGAAAAGTAGGTTTTACCATTCGATGATAAAAGACGTTATGTTATGTAATTTACACCTCACTCATTATTTGCTTACAAATACCTAATGTCGTTATTGTTAATGCCTACTTAAATAAACAAACACGTATCTGATAGCAAACGCCTCATAGCATCATTTCGTAAAATACTAAGACACATCACATGGGAAGTTTTACCATAGCTTTTAAGAGAATAAGTATAAATTCGAAAAAAAAGAGTAACGAATGCAGTTTCTTGCTGGTTCTTCTCCATTCGAATCTACATTTTGGAATGAGCACCTAGTTTCACTGACGGACTGACTGACAGACTATTATTTATTTTGTATTTGTTGACGTTTCAAAAGTACCAAACTATGGTTTAATTGAAATAAATGCTTTGACTTTGACTTTGATTCAACTTACCAATAATAACTCCTGGCACCAGGTTCTCCTTGATGGTGAACTGGTGGACTGGTGACGGGAACCGCGGCGCGTTGTCATTGTCATCCACTAGTACTACCGTAAGGAGTCGAAGGCTCTCGAACTGGGCTGGTGTACCGTTGTCCACTGCTGCTATTACCAGCTACAAATAAGAAGAATGGTTTAAGGAAGTGTAATAGAAATAGGTATTGTTAAGCGTGAATGGTTATTTTTGTACTCTTTTTTATTATATATATTTGTAGGGCCGACGTTTGACCACTATCTGGCGACCTGGTGGTAAGCCATTATGCGGTCTACGATGGAGCACGGCGACCCATAAGCAACCTATTCAATCGAGCCTCGAAGACACGATTAGAATTCCACTCCTTAGTAGTACGCATGAGGAAGCTTGATGCGAAGCGCTTCGTGAGTGTGGGTGGGACATCTACCATGAATCGGTGACGCTTTGCCGATTGTCTTGTGGTACGATGATGGAGAGGACTAGGGGGAATCAAGTTGTGCAATTCCCTCGCACACATACCGAAATGTATCCTCTGATTATATTATGAACTAGCTGTGCCCGCGACTTCGTTCGCGTGGAATAGTGACTATGAGCAGCGTTTTTTTAAATATATATTTATTTTTATTTTGGATCATTATACAAAATTTCAACCAAATCCGTCAAATAGTTGCGGAGATTAATGGTGCCTATGTATGTATAAGCATAGAATAGTGTTCGACGTGATTCTTTAATTTGACATAACTTTTTTATTTATGAACCGATTGACATGAAACAAACACTGAAGCATACCACAATATATTCGTGAAAACCGCATCCAACTCGGATCAGCCGTTTCTGAGATTAGCGTGAACAGATAAACAGACAAACAGACAAAAAAAAGTTAATTACATTTTTGGGTTCGACATCGACATAACAATAACCCCTGCTATTTTTTTTATTTTTATTTTCAATGTACAGACAGCATATGTATATAGATGAAGACGTTAAAATCTAAGCTACTGAGAAAATAATTTGCTAGTAAAACTACTCGTTCCGTAAATATCATTTCAAACGCCTCGACTTGTCTAAAGAAAAACGAGTAAAAGATATCGATAGGTCCTCTTTGTTAACCACTGAACAGCGTTATTGTTTTTGTCCAATTTAGTAAGCGATGCACTGCGACGAAGGGTTGACCTGGTGATCTGTGATACAGGTTTTACTTACTACAGACTAGTCTCAAGTTGATTGTATCATTGTTTGATGTATCTTTATTTCTAATTGATATTAAGAAATAAACTAGCGGACCCAACAGACGTTGTCCTGCATTGTCCACTTGAATGTACAAACAAAAATTCATTCAAATTAGTTCAGCTGTTTAGGATAAATAACCTAAACATCGACTGCAGCGCCATCTGCCGGGCTGATTTGTGAATCCAAACTATTCCCAGATCCCCTTGAACACACACAAAAAATTTCATCAAAATCGGTCCAGTCGTTTAAGAGAAGTTCAGTGACATACACAATTATATATATAAAGAATTATTTATATAGTTACATTTCGTGACTTTAAAAATATGCCAAGAGATATCAGACCTTCCGAATCTCCTATATAAGTATTCAACTAACCTGATATTCAGCTTTATGCTCTCTATCCAGGAAGGTCTTGGTTCTCAACTCTCCAGTATCAGGGTCCAGGCTGAACTCCTGCGTCTCGCCAACATTCTGGTTGTCCACCTTCAGGTAGTAGGAGACACGGCCATTCTCCCCACTGTCCTCGTCCGTCGCCTTTATTGTGGTGATTAAGTAGTCTGACTGAGCTGCGTTCTGGGGATTAATGGGGTGATTAATTGTTAGAATTGTTAGAAAATTGTGTGATTGGTTTAGGTTTACTTCTGATTGAAACATTCACGTCGCATTTTTTTATAACTAACGATATGGGAATAAGGATAATGGATTTCTTCTTCAATTTTACAATCGTAATGTTTTGACAGCGTTACAATGTGTTATTAGTAATCGGCTAAAATGTCTGTTCTCCTCTTAACAATAGACAATTAATAATTTTGCGTATAGTGTCAATAATATTTGTGTGATTAGTCATTTTTGCTAACAAATACCTGGTCTACGTCATAAAGGCAAAAGTGTGTATATTTTTGATTATCCACCTTAAACTGTCAAACACAGCGAGGACACCGGTGACCGCAACCTATTGTTCTTTAAACTGTCAAACACCAAGCGGTCACCGGTGACCGCGACCTATTGTTCTTTAATTGTGTCTATAAAACCGGTACTCGACGAGTTAATTGTGTCTATAATGACACAATTAACGAACAATAGTACTCAAAGGGTTAATATTACTATTTTCTTTCAAAGAGGTGTGATATTCTACCTATGAGATGAGAGTTAACTGTCTACTTACATATCTAACCAAACATTGGTTTATTGCCCTGTTGTTGCTTACATTTTCGTCATTGGATGTAACGTTTTCTCCAATTTGTTATCTGAAATAAGATCCTGACCTAAATGCGTGTTACCTCAGGTATGTCCAAGTGGCGGACGTCAGCGGGCGGCTGTACAAAGACGGGGCTGTGCCTGTTGACGCTGAGCACGTAGATGTCGACGCGCGCGGTGTCCGCGTGCGGGCCGGCGCCGCCCCCGTCGCGCGCCGCCACCCACAGCTGGTAGCTCGCGTTGCCCAGCACTGGCCGCGCTGGGTATATTATACCACTCGACGGGTCCACTGTGAATACTCCTGGAAAAAGATTTCAAATTCAAATTACTTTATTTGTAGAACACAGGTTACAAAAGATGTTACAAGCATTACATTGACCAGCTATGTCTTGCCACCAACGGCGTACAAATACATTAAACTAGCTTCTGCCCGCGACTTCGTACACGTAATCCCATTTTTTCCCGTCTCCGTTCGTGATTTTCGGTAAAAAGTAAAAAAATGTTGGTCAAAAACCTCCTACCTCCCTACCAATTTTCAGCTAAATCTATTGTGCCGTTCTTGAGTTATAAGTGGTGTAACTAACACGACTTTCTTTTATATATATAGATTAAATAGATTAAATTACCATTTGATTAGTTTATTTATTTATTTAAAACCTTACCTAAAACTATCATTACAGTTTTCTCCATTGTGATAATTTAGGCCTAAAACTAAATCTATGTACCTAATTACTAATTTAAAACAAGACAAAACAAAATCAAATAGAGAGCATACACAAACTTAACTATTAACTAAAACTAATGAAACAAAAAAATACTTAATACATAGTTAACCTTTCATTTGAGAATTGCGCTATAATCCTGAACAAATGTTTATTTTTATTTAAACTTTATTTTCAGGCAACTATAGTCTATAATACATTCCTTACAGACTAACATAAATATTGTAATACACAATAAAATTGATGTTAGTAAATAAACCTTTTTAGTATTTTGATACCATTATCAACCCTTTGTGCTTTCTCCACTTTGTGCCTTCAACGGATCATGAGCTATTTCAGGTATATAGGGAGACGCAGGGAGATAACTTGGAGATGTTCATTGTAGTGCAAAATATTGAGGGTAAAAGGGCCAGAGGACGATCCTTAACCAGATGGTCTGACCAGCTCAATGACAACCCAACATCGAAGTTCTACGAGATCGAAGATGGAGACAATTCGTCCAACCCAGAGTGATGCCAATATGATCACGATCCTCAGTCATGAGATAATGATCGGAGATCAACGCTTTACCTATTTCCTATTCTTACAATCAAAAATAAAGAATTGCCTAAATTAATTACAAGGTACAATTTTTATGAGATCACTATTACTTAATAATCTAGACTCCAAAATATTTCCAAACTATTTTACCTAATTATTTCTAAAAAAATGAAATTAGCAATATAGTTTTTAATTCATTACAATTGAGACCTGCTAAAAACAAAATTGTTCAAATTACTTACCAGCTTCACTCTGTTCAATGATCTTATACTCGATCTTCCCGTTGACCCCCTCGTCCTTATCTTCAGCTAGCACCTGCAGTATGGCGGCCGGAGGGTTGAGCTGCAAGTTCTCGGCGATGGTACTCTTGTACACTTTCTGACTAAACACTGGAGAGTTGTCGTTTATGTCCTGGACTTTTATGTGCACCTGGAAAAAAGATGGTAATGGTGGTTACATTCTATGGTAGTTAGTATTACGTGTTTTATTGTTGAGTTAGAAAAACCCATAGATCCCCAAGCGGTCACCGGTGACCGCTCTCCCCTAATATTACATTACATTATAGACCTTATTTCCAATGTTTAGAGACTACTTTTGTATGACAAAATTTAGGGGATGGATTTCAACGGGTTAAGTTAGCACTGAAGTTTTAACATGACAGATATATACATGACTGCACGGTTAGCGCGGTGGCTGGGGAACCGGCTGGCGCGCAATTCCCGAACGGAGCAACTCTTTGTGTGTTCCACAAATTGTTAATTCATCATGTGTATGTAAAATGTTATGTTTGTAAACGCACTCACGACACAAGAGGAAATCGTAGTGTGGGCGGAAATAATAAACACATGTAATAGAGGGTGAGCATAATATTGCCTTACACCTTGTGCTTTTGGAAAGATTAAAAAAAGAACGATTAAATCTCATTAATTCATATTTTTTCCAGTCTGGGAATTGAACTACAGACATCTTGCTCAAGAGTCGCGCTAAAGATAAATGGTCCAACAAAACAGTATAAAACGCATAAAAACTTGTCTATACTAACCGGCACACTGGTAGTCCTTCTAATATGTGCAGGCGCATTATCACTGGCGATGGCTCTGAAGTAAATATCCCCTGCAACCTCTCTGTCGATCACAGCGCCCTCTGCCACCGTGATGATGCCGGTGTTAGGGTCTATGGTGAACTGGTTTGCAGAGTCGCCTGATAGACTGTAGGTCACTTCGCCAAATTCACCTGGAAATGAGGATGGATTGGTGGTAGTAGTAGGATTAAAATATGGTATATGACCGTAGTTAGTAGGCTGCGCGATAAATTACTCCCTTATAAATTACTAGGTGTTGTCTACGACATTGTTCGCGTAGAAAATGATTCCTTTCTTATGCCATGGGAGCATTTAATCGGGATAAAAATATATCATGTCATCTACGTCAGCCCATACCCGTCTGTATACCAAATTTCATCAAAATCTGTTCAGTAGTTTCAGCGTGATTGACGGACAAATATCCAAACAAAGAAACTTTCACATTTGTAATATTAGTGCGGGAGAATAAGTGTGGGAGAACCATGCTTCGGCACGAATGGGCCGGCTCAACCGGAGTGATACCACGGCCTCACAAAAAACCGACGTGAAGCAACGTTTGTGTTGTGTTTAGTCGTGTGAGTGAGATTACCGGAGGCCCAATTACCCTCCCCTTCCCCAATCTCCCCAATTCCTGAATCCCCAACGATCCTCAAACTCCTAATCCCCAAAAGGCCGGTAACGCACTTGTAACGCCTCTGGTGTTCCAGGTGTCCATAGGCGACGCCGATTGCTTACCATCAGGTGATCCGTCTGCTCGTTTACCGGCTTATACCATAAAAAAGTGTGATTTAAAACCATCAATTTCTTCTTACCTTCATCCTTATCGACAGCATTTACAATGAGCACACTGGTTCCGGCCTCGGCATGCTCCGCCACGACCCCGTCGTACGCACTGGACGCGAATACTGGCTCCTCGTCATTAGCGTTCAGCACCTGTTAGTGTATAGGTGTTTTAACATAACATAATATCACGCCTTTTATCCCCAAAGGGGTAGGCAAAGGGGCACATTATGCCACTGTACTTACAATGTAGGTAACACCCACTTTTCACTATTCATGTTATGAGTCCCATGTAAGAGGGGGTGAACATGTGTTTTACTCTGAACAATAGTCATATAGGTATTGTATTGGAATGAATGATTTTACTTTATCGTTAGCTGGCTCATCATGTTAGCAAACGAGCAGACAAATTACCTAATATTTTTTATAATTACTATCGTGAGACATATTAAATTAACTAAAAATCGCGGGTTACTCACGTGAATTTTTTTTCAATAGATGCAAACTTCTTTTAAAACCTACTGTAACACTTCTCTGCATCACCCTTTGGTTGGCTGGTAGAGAATGCCATTCGGCATTAATTCCGCCGTTGTATACAGTTGTACATAAAGTGTTAAATAAAATAAAATAAAAATATGCTGAAAATTTCGAACCACAGAGGAGTTCTTGATGAGTCCTCATGGGCAGCGTGCGCGGTCGCGGCGATGTCGCGGCGCCTACTCAGTAGGCTTTTCTCAGTATTTTCAAGTGACCCGCGATATTTAATTACATCACTTATGCCAGAATACTGAAACGTTACTCAATTTTAAGTCGTGCTTAAGCATAGTTCTGTCACTACAAATTCTTTGTAAAATGACAGAGATGGCACGATATTTAAGCACGACTTAAAATTGAGTAACGTTTCAGTATTCCAGCAGTAATGGTTTAGAAATCGTCACCCCTATTGTTAGCCGCAAAACTAGAGGCGGTAAACGCGTTGCGGTAAGGAACATTTGGGATTGGGAGATAAATTGGGCGATTGATAACTTCACTCACGCGGCGACACTATACATAACGCGAGCATTGTGCCAATCGACGTCCAATGCCTGGAAAGCGATGAGCTTATGGTAAACCCCTATTCTGTAGAAAATTATTCCAGTTGTGGACTCTCATTAGTTGTTGACTTTTAATGTTTTTTTTTTATGGTATAGGAGGCAAACGAGCAGGCGGATCACCTGATGGTAAGCGATCAGCGCCACCCATGGACACCCGCAACACCAGAGGAGTCACAGGTGCATTGCCGACCTTTTAAAAAGGAATACGCTCTTTTCTTGAAGGTTTGAAGGTATGTATATGAAAAACAGAAACAAATATTCAGTTACCTGCACCATGACTCCTGCCGCGGTGCTGAGTTGTGGCACTCCCCCGTCGTAGGCGACTAGCGTAAAGTTAATACTGTGAACTTTCTCGTAGTCTATTCGTTGAGCCACTTTTACTATTCCTATAAAAAGGGAAGAAAAGTTTGTAAACAGTTTAACAATACATTGATTCGAACTAGGAGGCTTCCTCTAAGCGTACGCGCTAATCTCAGCAACTACTGAATAGTTGCTGAGATTAGCGCGTTTCAAATAAACATAACATAACATAACATAACATCACGCCTTTTTATCCCCGAAGGGGTAGGCAGAGGTGCACATTATACCACTGTACAATGTAACACCCACTTTTCACTATTTATGTTATGAGTCCCATGTAATAGGGGGTGAGCCTATTGCCATATACCGGGCACAATTCCAGACTCCGTGCTACTACTGAGAATATTTAAAAAACCCAGTAATACTTTGCCCGACCCGGGAATCGAACCCGAGACCCCTTGTCCGGCAGTCGCACTTACGACCACTCGGCCAACGAGGCAGTCAAATAAACATACAAACTTTATATAATATGTATAAGATAAGAATACAAGGTTTAATAAACCTCACAAAAAAGTTATTTTAAGGGGGAAAATCGTCGAACTGCTCCCGCCTGGGTGAGTCGGGAGGGAGTGTCAGACTCTTACTGACTAAAACCCACCCCGTTCCTTCTCCTGCACGTCGAGCCGGAGCCTCGGTAACCCGTTAAGTTCTCCGCGACCACAAAAAAGTATAATACGTCAGCTTTCTGTTTTTTAAGGCTTGTCTAATTTTAACTCACCAGTAACATTGTCAATAACGAAGTATGGATTAGGTGGCTGTATCGCAATGGCCTGTATAGGAGTCTCCTTGTCACTAGCGGTGTATGTGTTGAGGACAGTCCCCAGGGGCTGCTCCTCCAGGATGTTGTCGAGGTAGGAGGGCTGCGAGAACACGGGCGCGTGACGGTTCACGTCCACTATTGTTATTATTAGCTCGCCTGGAATGAGAATGTTTCAATTAAAGACAGTTGTAAAAATATCTGAGTACAATAAGCTCAGCAGGTCTTCTTTTAATGTTCAAAAAAAGATTTGGGTAAATTACATAACACCACGCCTTTTATCCCCGAAGGGGTAGGCTGAGGTGCACATTACGGCACTTAATGCCATTGTCCAATGTAACACCCACTTTTCACTTTTATGTTATAAGTCCCATGTACCATATACCAGGCACAATTCTAAACTCCATGCTACTACTGAGAATTAAAAAAAAATTAATAATACTTTGCCCGACCGGGGAATTGAAACCGAGGCCAACGAGGCAGACAGGCATTTCTATAAATTATTTTGTTCATATTGTGAAAAGCGGCATCTTTTGCTCATGAGAGTTACTATAATAATAAAGTTGATTATAAGGCTGATTTTATTATTTAATCATACCCGTTTCGATCCTAGTTACTGTTTCGACTAGTTACTGTTTTAAAATTACTTAATAGCTAGTCAGTTACAATCAGTGTTAGCAAAACGTAAATGTTGAAATAGAAGTTTTACAAGGTCAAAAATGTTCTACACAGCAAATTCAACCTTACATCTTCCACAAAAGAATTGAAATCCAACGTACCATCAGCTCGTTGCAGCGTGGGCGCGGAGGCGTCAGTAACGGCCACGGGCAGCGTGAGCACGGCCGCCCTGCTCCTGTCGAGGCGCTGCGACACTGCCACGGACCCGTTGGACTGCACCGTGAACCACGTGCCGAAGATACCTTCGTCTGATACCTGGGAGGACATACAATAAGTTTCATTAATATTATGGATGAGTTATAGGAGCCATTTTGTTATTACATGTGCCGAAAATTGTTATTACTAACATTAAATAGAAATGAATGCCTTTGGCTCATTAAAAATTTGCCATTAAGTACTTATTAAATTATTCGGGACGCTACAGTTTAAAAAAAATAACCTAATTGTACTCATCCTAAATTGATCTTTGATTATTTAATTGTAAGTTGTTTTTTATAATTTTTTAGTATTTATAATTTACCATAATTGTATAATAATTAGACTACTATTGCATCTTTTGGAAGTTTTTGTGTTTAATAAACGATTTTTATTATTTTTTATTATTCGGATCGGTACTTACTTACCTAGTATGCATTTGTGATTTTTTTTAATTGTTGCGACACACTAAACTTTCCTGCTGGGTCGTAGGTGCGTTTACAAACATACAATTTCACATACACATCACACCCAGACCGGGAACAACAGTTTGTGGATCACACAAAGAGTTATTCCGTTCGGGAATCGAACCCGCGACACGTTGCGCGGCAGCCGGTTCCCCATCAGCCACCGCCTATTATTAGATTTTTCCATTTACCTTATATCTTTTAGAAAAGGACAGATATTGAAATAAAGATTTACCCGTACTATTAAGAATGTTAGGGCCAAATAATTTAGTTTTTTTGTGTCTAATAGAGTGAAGATTTATGGACTGCGTCAAACAACATGCAATAAACCCTTCAACAACTCTTTGTGTGATCCACAAACTATTGTTCCTTGTCTATGGTCCACAGATAATATTAGATATTATGTGATTTTAGTAAAATAACGAGTCTGTGGACCATGGACAAGACTTCATTTAAAATTTTTTAGCTTTTATTTTATTTTATTTTTATTTTTTAATTATGTTATGTGTGTTCTGCGCAGAAATAAATGGTTTTTCTTTCTTTCTAAACACTGACGCGTTTTACCAGAATTAAATGGCATAATTCAAAGAAATTAAAATCAGCCTTACCTCCTTCCCATTCTTATCAACAGCCCTAATAACTTTCTCTCCCATCTCATACACCAGCGACCCATTGTCCATGATGTCCGGGTCCACAGCTATGAGGTTGTGTACAATGACGCCGAGCTCCACGTCTGCTGACACCTCGGCGCGTTGTATGGGCGGCGTGAAGTATGGCTTCTTGTCGTTCACGTTGATGACGTGGACTGTCAGCTCTGTCGTGCCTGTTAGACTTGGTATACCTGGGGATGGAAAGGATAGGGTAAATTAAAAAATGTTGTTGGTGAAAATTAACTAGTTCATTGATGAACTGCCTCGCTGGCCGAGTGGTCTTAAGTGCGACTTCCGGGCAAGGGGTCTCGGATTCGATTCCCGGGTCGGGCAAAGTATTACTGGGTTTTTAAAAAATTCTCAGTAGTAACACGGAGTCTGGAATTGTGCCCGGTATATGACATAAATACATAGTGAAAAGTGGGTGTTACATTGTACAGTGGTATAATGTGCACCTCCGCCTACATAAAAGCAAGGCGTGATGTTTATATTATGTGATAAGTATTGCTACACATGTACGCTCTAATGAGGCTTTTTAACTACAAAAAATTACTTACCCAAATCAGTAGCAACAATTTGTATTCTATAAGTATTCCTCTTATCATAGTCGAGTTTGGAGGAAACAGTGACGACTCCAGTGTCGTTGTGTATGGCGAAGGAGTCGAGCGCTCCCTTCTGTATCCAGTACTTCAGCTCCGAGTTCATGCCGCTGTCCAGGTCTGTAGCGCGAACTGCTGCTACTTCCGTACCTTGAAGGTGAAAGGTAATATTTAAGATATAGTAAGAGAGGGGGTTTTAATATATATAGTATGAATAAAATAAATATTCGTTGATATTTTCAAAGGTTAGGTTGCTACATATCTATAATTTTTAGTTTTAGCAGCCGCCAATATCAATTATCACACTAATAATATATTTTAAATGTGAAAGGTTTTTGTCCATCAATTACGATGAAATTTGGTATACAGGCAGGGTATGGGCGGACTTAGGAGATAGGATACTTTTCATCCCGATGAAATGCTCCTATGGGATAAAACAGGAGTCATATTTTACGCGGACGAAGTTGCGAGCAACAGCTAGTTATCCATAATTGTAATAAGTAACAATCTGAGTGCAACGTCATTGACATATTTTAAGTATGGGTCAAGAATTACTTACCACAGTTTTCAAATACTATAAATAGAGCATGTTATATACACAAAATCAAGACTTCATTACGCCTTCATTGAATATTTCAACTTTATTATTATGAATTGAGAGTTTATTTTCGTCAATCATTGTAAGAGACTTTATATTAAGTTAGACTTACCTATCGGTGCATCTTCGGATATGTCAGCATCATACTTGTCGGTATCAAAGACGGGAGCGTGGTTGTTAACGTCGCGGACTGTGATCTCCACCTTACAAGTAGCGTTGTGGATACCGTCTGTGGCCTGTAGAAAATTTAAAGAAAACATTAAGTTATTAATTGTTGAATTAAGTTTTTAAGTGTATGTAAAAATCTTCCCTGAGGAAGATATACGGGCAGACAGAAGGGCAACAGAGTCTTAGATCCTGTTAATTACCCATTGGACTCCCCAAAAGTAGTATGTTTTATAGTGGCCAGCAAAATAGAGTATCACGGATCATATTCCCGCAATTTCGGACAAACATAAGAGAAAAGATACTCCATAGAATTTTTTAATCTTTGCCTTAGGCAATCTTGACAGCGATATGGCCGTACCTTACTCCAAGATATTTATTTTTAAGTTAATATTTTTTTTTAAAAATTCGGAGCTCACAATATTATAAATTCATACATGTTGTGCCAAGTATTGTTAATCAAGTGTGGGAGAGTCATGCTTCGGCACGAATGGGCCGGCTCGACCGGAGTGATTTATTTATTTATTTATTATTACAGTCACAACGGTTGAGAACAAAAACCAATTAAAGTAACTGGAATAATACCACGGCCTCACAAAAAACCGACGTGAAGCAACGCTTGCGTTGTGTTTCGTGAGAGTGAGGTTACCGGAGGCCCAATTACCCTCCCTTTCCCCAATCTCCCCAATTCCTGAAACCCCAATGATCCTCAAACTCCTAATCCCCAAAAGATCCGGTAACGCACTTGTAACGCCTCTGGTGTTCCAGGTGTCCATGGGCGACGCCGATTGCTTACCATCAGGTGATCCGTGAACAAAAAAGTGAACTCACCAGCACAGTCAAGAAGATCTTGTTGCTATCTTCAGGCGGAGTGACCCCGCCAGTGTCAGGTCGGACGGATATCTTGCCGTTGATGGGGTCTATCCAGAACGGGTGGGTCGGCGGGTCGATGATCGAGTAGCGGATGTCGGACGATACGTCCACGTCGCGGGCTTGAACCTGTGGAATTAATATAGGGTGTTGTATTAGGATTAGGCCATGCAAAACCGGAAAGTCATCAAAACCGGTTTTGAACATCGTTTTTTTGGTACCAAAACCGAAAACCGGAGCTAGGTCCGGTTTTATCAAAAAAATCGAATGTAGTTAATTTAAAAAAGAAAACCGTTTTTTAAATACCCACTAAGTCTACAAATGAAACAAATTGTGTGATACACTTCTTTTTCATCCAAACCATAATAATTGTACAGATAACAATGAACTTATAATAGTATAAAAATTATTTAACTGAGATCAAATCAACAACAAGTAAGTTTTTGGTATCTTTGGAACCTATTAAGTCTGCTAACAAAAATAATATATTTTAAACATAGAAAACACAAGTAGCATCTGTAAATATTAAACACAGCCAACCACAATTACCAAATAAAAAACATTATTTTTGTAACTTTCAAGACGAACTACAAAATAACATTATTATTATATCATTCATATTGCACTAAAAAAGAGATCAATGATCAACTGCGGGGTGCAGGCTCGGAGATGTTCGCAGACCCATCAAGAAATATCCAAATAATTACTGATGACAAGCTATTGGAGGAAGAGCTACTAGACGTACTTGACCGATTCTTCAACAACATTTACGAAACTGGTATTCTTCCACATGACTGGCTAAAGTCTACGTTCATTACAATACTCAAAAAACAAAATGCAACAAAATATGGAGAGTACCGGATGATGAGTCTAATGAGTTCTTAAACATCATACAGACTGGGAGACAGCCAATTCGGATTTCATTCTGGTGTAGGCACCCGTGAAGCTTTATTCGCCCTCAACTATCTCATAATCTCCATCTCTTCAAAAATGCAGAGAAATGCAAACGGACGTCCTGATAATATGTTTTATCGACTACGAAAATGCATTTCATTTAGTTAAGCATCAGGCGGGGGTAGTGGAGGGAGGCGTGAAAGTGGGTGGATGCAGGCTGTGTTCGTTTCGGTACATTTAATGCCTCAATATTAATTATTTTTGAGAGTGTTCGAATTTGATTAAAACAAAATGTTAATTGTTACTTAATAATAGGAAAACCGGAGCTGAGCTCCGGTTTTGGCTCTCAAAACCGGTTTTCAATAATCGCAAAATTTTGGCTGATTTCCGGTTTTGCGCAAAACCGGAAAACCGGTTTTGCATGCCCTAATTAGGATGTTAAAGAAATTGCAATACTTTGGTGGTGGTTTAACAGATTTTAGATATCGTTTATTGCTGAGCAAGGGATCTTTGTTTGGATTCTCAGGTCTGTCAAAGTTTTATTGGAATTATTAGAACTTCTCACTAAAAACGACTACTTGTTTAATTCGGTACTTAAATCCTGACAGATAGGGAAATTTCATCTGGTCATAGTACTTCTATGTACATTAATCATTCGTACTATTCTTAGGTGGTTAATAAAAATGGTTCTATTATTAACATACAAAAACTCTTATAAGTTTTATTGGAGTATTATTACTTACTAACAGTCTTTAGTAAGTAGTAATTATTATTACTTTTAGCATATTTCGTTAGTCCCCACAAACCTGTAGTTCCGGCTCAAACTTGACAGCATCTTCATCAATAGATGCTTTATATACGGGAGTGTGGAACACGGGCGGGTTGTCGTTGGAGTCCGTCAGCGAGATCTGCAGGGAGACCACCGTGTTCTGACCCGCGCCGTCATCGTCTGTAGCCTGGGGAGGGAGATCAAGATAGATAAGTATTTGTTGAGATGGCAGTAAGTACAATTTTTGATTTGGGTTTAGCATTTTATATTTATACCACTTCATGTTTATTTAAGTTAAAAATACAAACTTCTGGTTAGACGTATACTACACCAAATAAACGTAAAATTGTACTTTATTACATTCAATAAAGCTACCTTGTACTGCAAGAAGTAATCCTTCCTGGTCTCGAAGTCCAGACAGGGCGCCAGGCCGGGCGAGTCGCAGGCCGCCACCGAGATGACTCCGCTCCTGTTGTCCACGCGGAACAACTCCGCGCCGTTGCCCGACAACTGGTATACTATGCCTTCTGTGCCGAATCTGGAATTATTTATTTATGATTTAGACTTATTGGTTTTTTATACTTTAATCTGGTTTATAGAGTAGTTTCTTATATTAAGAAAATCGTGCAAAAGAACTTTTCCAAATCTAGGTATTCAACAGGTTTTGTCATCAAATGTTTACTTTAGTGTCACAGTTTAAGCGAAAGAAAGGGGGGAGGAGAGAGTAAGAGAGAGAAAGGAGAGTAGAAAGAGAGAAAAAAATCAATGGGATGGGGTCATAATTGACACTAGCTTAAATCAAAATTTATATCAACCTCAGATTAAGGACTAAAAGAAGTTGTTTTACGGAATAGGGGCGAATAAGCAACTGAGAAACCACCTTTCTCGTTGGCTTCTCAGCAAACTATGGCAAAATGTCGTTCTCAAACCCTTACCTGCCAGTATCTCTGTCAGTCGCCCGTATGGCCCCGACCCTGGTCCCCGGCGGCGCCGCCTCAGCGAGTGTGGCGGAGTATGGCTCCTCGGCGAACTGCGGCGCGTTGTCGTTCACGTCGGTGAGCGACACTGTCACACTCGCCTTCGAGGACAGGCGGGGAGACGTGTGTAGCTCTTCTGCTATCACCTGGAACATAAGATTAGAGTTTTATGTTGTTGTTGGATGATGTACGAATTAAATAAAATAATAATTCGCAAAGAAATTGATGATGTCACGAAAAAAGCAGGTCCTGACTTCATGGGATGAGACATAGATAGATAGCCTTATGGAATAACGTAGGAATTTACGTCTTTATATTTATTTAAGTTTTATACAATTGCATAAGGAAGACTTAATGCTAATAGCATTCTGCCAGTCATCATTAGGTAATGCAGAAATGTATGTGGTAGATATAATGTATATACTTTTAAAAGAGAGAACCAACATGACCAATATAGAAATTTCTTACCTCCAAAATAAATTTCCTCTGATTAGGATCTTCGTAATCTAGACTAGAGTTTAACCTCAAGGTGACTGAGGCACTCCCAGTGGCAGTGGCTGGTTCCACTATGAAGGCTCCCATCTCGTCTGATAGGCGTAGAGTAAATACGGAGTTCAGACCCTGGAATATAGAGAATAACTTATGATTATGTAAAGAAAATTCGTGTGGGGTTGTGCCATCATTTAAGTAATTTACGTCAGTACAGTACAGTCTTATTGCATAGATACCTTATTATTGTATAGATATAGAGAGCGATACTAAAAGCATATTGTTGAAGAGATAACTTTGAGATTAACTTTTGCGCAAAATTGCGCTTACTTTGCGCAAACCAATTAATAAGTTCTGATGAGAATTCCGCACAAGAAATCAATGTTGAAACTAAATCAACGCGGAATGGTGCCAATAAGGCCCCTTGTTAAACTAGAAGTATTATAAGTACTTTTGTTGTTGTAAGAGTAAGACTACAGTGTCGGCTTATGATCACGAGAACCTCAAATTATGTTGATACTAATAATAGTATAAAAAAAACGAACCACATCGGTATCAGTGACCACCATGTCCAGGTTCGGCAGTGGTGTCCCCACGGGCAAGGACTCCGGTATCTCCACGGAGTACTCGCGGCGGTTGAAGCGAGGCGGCTCATCATTCACGTCCTTTATTGTTATTGTAACCGTCGCCAGGGTTGAGGTCAGGTCTGATATTACTGGGACACCATTTACTAGTTCTGTTGCCTGTAAATGAATAAAGAGGGGTTATTTTTAAGCCAAGGATATTCTAGGGGGTCTACAAAGGTTCTGCAACACGTGTCGCGAGCGACGTTGCCAGACATTGGTCGATATGTCTGGCAACATTAACATCTTTGCCTTATAATATGTCGGGCTTAGTTTGACATGTCGTCGATTCATATCGGGGGACACTTGTCCCATAGTGTATTCTTGGCTTCAAGTTTTGATTTTAATAAGTTAATTTGATCGTCATCTTATCATAGATGGTCCGGTGTGACATGGAACTAGTAAAGCATTTCCCGAATAGTTTACAGATATCGTATATTTTAATTAGTTTAGTATGTTCCGTGATTCAAAGTCAAAGCATTTATATCAATATAACGTTAAATAGGCACTTTTAAAAAGCCAAAATTGAATTGTCCGTCCGTCTGTTTGTCAGTGAAGCTAAGCGCTCGTTCCAAAGTCTAGTTCCGAATGGAAAAAAAAGGAGCAACAACTCCATCGCTACTCTTTTAAAAAAAAATTTTCACAACCTCATAGATACATGATCTGATCCTTTACTTGGTGACCCAAGTACAGCTTCCACAGTTTTCATAATAAGGTATAAATAGAAATATCTAAAAATAGGTACAATAAATAGAAGACTTACTCTCACGGTAAGATTGAGTGGCGATGAAGGATCTGCTAGTGCCTCTCTGTCCAGAGGCTTAGCTGTCCTCAATTCTCCCGTATTTCTGTCCAGTAAAAAGAAATCCAACGGATCTGAAAGTAAAAAAAGTGTATACAAAATACAATCCATATTTGTCAGTCTATTAGTGTTAACTGCCTCGTTGGCCGAGTAGTCGCAAGTGCGACTGCAGAGCAAGTAGTCTCGGGTTTGATTCTCGGGTCGGGCAAAGTATTACTGGGTTTTAAACAAATCTCAGTAGTAGCACGGAGTCTGGAATTGTGCCCGGTATATGGCAATAGGCCCACCCCTATTACATGGGACTCATAACATAAATAGTGAAAAGCGGGTGTTACATCGTACAGTGGCCTTAAGGGCCGTAATGGGCACCTCTGCCTACCCCTTCGGGGATAAAAAGGCGTAATGTATGCATATACAGCCAACAGTTACCGGTGACTGGTAGTTGGCTGTATAGAATAGACAAGCTCCTTACAATCTCCTAAAACCGCTGCAACTCCTGTAAGCCAGGATCTACAGTAGCTGTACAGAATATTTGCTATAAGTGGTTTCTATCGTCCATTTATAAAGAACATAATTGTATCAAGTAACTTACTTGTCACTAACTCGAGCACGACATTCCTGGGCTGAGCCCTATCAGCATCCCTGGCCTTGACAGTGAGCGCCAGGGTGCCGACGGGCGCGTCCTCAGCGAGCGCCCCACTGAGCGCGCCGCTGAACACGGGCGGAGAGTTCTGGACATCCACTACTTTGATCTCCACGTGAGCTGTCGAGTTTAGGCTGCCGTCCTGATGGTGGAAATTAAATGGGTTAAAGTTAAAAAAAAACAACAATGTTTTTTATTAATAATAATTTGAAGTCATTTGTGTTGGTATCGATTTAAGTGGGTATTTAATAAAGTCTAATAGATACTCTTATAGACTCGTCGAAATTGCGAAATAGTTATATTTTTCTTATACTTTGCTAATCCTACAGTTAGTACGCGTGATGATAATTATGTTTGTTGTCATTTAGGTAGACACGGTTGCATACCTCATAAGGAGAACATACGTCAGGTCAGGTATGTACCAAGGAGTCAGAAATAGGAAAGAGGAGAGGAAGGAGAAATAGGATTTTAATAGTAGATTTTGAACTCTAATGCTTTGTGCCACAGTACTTTGTGTGTATAGTCCAGTGATTGGTAATCCTGTAATGTGTACAACTTTACATACAAGGAATTCAGGAATATAAAAGAGGTTTGATAATTTTTAATCGCACAAAGGAACCTATTGACCGCCGCGGTCGACAAACTAACTTAAAAATCATGTTTTTTTGTCCGCTGCGGCCGACTGTGACGGGTCACGTCATTTTTCGTCTGTGTTCAAAGGGTTAAAAATGAACTTAACAATAATATATGCACCCTTAATTGTATTCCCTTTGAGAAACCGAAGATGTTAATTAGCCAATATTGTCTATAAGTACTCACATTAGCATACAACTGGTACTGGTAAAACTGCCTCTCGTTGTAGTTGAGCGGTTTCCTCAGTACCAGCGCCCCAGTGTACTGGTGCGCTGAGGAGTTCAGGGTCACCACCTCGAAGGTCTCACAGGCTTCAGGCCACTGGAAGGTAGTCAATTAAACTCTTTTAGGTATAATCTTATTTGAAGCCAAATGCCTTATTTTTAAGTGTTATCACGTTTTTACAAACGTAAAGTACCATTCTATGCATGAATCAGGTATTAGAAATATAGATAGAATACGTATTCAGCAATACTTTGATTTCTTATTACTTATCAACATCATCAGCACTGCTGAGCAAAGCCTCTTCCCACACGGAGAAGGTTTAAGCATTAATCACCACGCTTGCTCAATGCGGGTTGGCGATTACAGACTTATAATTAGAAATTATAAGCCCAGGTTTCCTCACGATGTTTTCCTTGTCAGTGGTGTCTAGATAATCTTAGAAAGTACATATATCTCGGAAAGTCACAATGGTACTTGCTGTTGGTAGGTTTCGAACCCGCACCCTCATGCATGAGAAGCGGGCCTCTTAAACCTCCGAGCCACCACGACACTGGATTTATCTGGATTTCTTTACCAAAATCTTGCCAGTAGTAATTTAACTAACCTGTTCATTAGGCACACAGCCTACTTCCAGGTTATCACCCACGGAATCCCTGTCTTCCACGAGGATATTATTCAGGAGAGTCTTACCAACCTCCTCGTCTTCTGGCACGTTCACTTCGTATGGACTCTGGAAATTTAAAACATTGATGTAAATAAAAAAATAATGGGTATGAATATTACTTTTGGAACGTCACGCACGATACACAAGAACATTTATTTAAGGTGTCAGTTCCAAAAGATCGACTGAATCCTTGTTACAATAGCTGCATAACAGCTGGAGACAACCATATTACGACGAGTAGCATATTTATTAAGTCATTGTGTAAAATTTTACATATAAGGAATTAAGGAATATAAAAGAGGTTTGATGATTTTTAATCGCACAAAGGAACCTTTTGACCGCCACCGTCGACAAACTAAATGTACTTAAAAATCATGCTTTCTTGTCGGCTGCGGCCGACTGTGACGGATCACGTCATATTCGGTCTGTTCCACCTTATTGAATATTTCAAAAAAATATTACAAAGATGATATGGGTAACCCCCAATTTTTCCTATCTGTATATTACTTATCAATATTTCATGTCTTACATTTTTAAACATAGGTGGGTTGTCATTCTCGTCCAGCACGATGACAGTGACCGGCTGCGACTGCACCAAGTTCTGCACCTTGGCGGGGTCCTCATCTTCTATGGAAACTAGGAATTTAATCGTATCTTCCACCTAGAACATAAAACGAGATAATAAGACTGGTTGCTTTCAAATTGTATCCTGCAGAAATTAATTTTATTTTATAATCAAACCATAAATTTTGTTGGCCGACAGTTCATCCCTCATAAGAAAAAGTGTGTATATTGAGATTATCGAAACTAAAATCGCTTCCTAGCCAGGTAACTTGCAAATTACTTACAAAACATTGCTTTTAATTATACTTGTTTTTGTACTTAGTATTGGCATGTTTGGCAACACCATCATTAACTTTACTATATTACACTATCATCAAATTTATTATTGACGAGAAACTCGATTAGTTTCAAGCCATGCTAGAGGTTCATATTCATGAGCAGCATTCCGCGACCCGCGACGCGGCGATTGTCGCGCTGCCTGAGAGCTTCTAGCATGGCTTGAAACTAATCTAGTTCCTCGTCAAACGGTTACGTGAGTAAGCCGAAAACATAATAATTAATATACATATGTTTTTAAAAATCTCAGTAGTAGCACGGAGTCTGAAAATGTGCCCAATATATGGCAATAGGCTCACCCCCTATTACATGGGACTCATAACATAAATAGTGAAAAGTGGGTGTTACATTGTACAGTGGCATAATGTGCACCTCTGCCTACCCCTTCGGGCATAAAAGGCGTGATGTTATGTTATAGTATGTCTCACGAAAGTTATAATATAAACACCATCTTTATTTATTTTAACGGAATTAAACACATAACTGGCAAAAACCCCAACGTCATTGACCATCACCGTTTATTGTTTCGCGTGTTTATAAAATAAATCCTTCAGAAACTTGAATACGGACATAAACCACATACCAAAACACTTTTGTATCATAAAAACAATTGTAAAAATTCATGATAATAAAGAACATGTGCATATTTTATAATATTTACATTATAATATTATACAACAATTATAATTTTTGTGTATGCATGCATGATAATGCTTTGTTTTACCAGTCATTGTGTCAGAGAATATACCGTTTTGGCCTTGAAGTTTTTGGTAAGAATCTCAATTAAAATATGAATTTTGTTTTGGAGTTTTATGTACTTGTTTTTTAAGCTTTATGATATCCATTACGGGATATATCAGAGTCCATTATGAACTGTTAAAATATGAATATCCACAGTAGTAAATAGTCAATTATATGTGTATTTTTGTTGACACTTTCTAGAAAGATAGGAACCATGTTAATGTTAAAGATTATGAAGATATGTGTATGGGAGGAAACTTACCTCTCTATCAAGTGGTCGGTCTAGCGTGACGTCACCAGTTTCTGCGTTCACTGAAAACTTGTCCGTGCCTACTAAACTGTATTTTATCTGAAAAACAAAAGATATATAAGTATTACAAACTGAAATTTGAACGCCTGGCAACTGAATGAATAGGGTAGTTGCCTCAATTTTATTTTAATGTCCGTCTGGTAGATTAATTTAAAACTTTAAACACGTATTTTTTCTTTTCTCACAAAATAAATACTTTCGACGATATATTCATTTGAAACATCGTGTGACGTCACAGCGTGTCACATTTTGTAGCACGTTATGACGTAACGACCTCCCACTCCTAAATTTAGCGCCATTTTATCTAAGTATTGCAACGTAATACGAGAAAATAAAAAAATACGTGTCTAATATTTTTTCATTTGCTAACTGACGGACTAATGGGGTAGACGACTAATTTTTATTTTAATGTCCGTCTGATAGATTATTTAAAAACATTAGACACGTATTTTTTATTTTCTCACAGAAACGAATAGTTTCGAAGATATATTGATTTGAAATGTCGCGTGACGTCACTTCTCAGTACATTTTATACTAAGGAATGACGTTTTAGCCCCCACTCCTAAACTTTGATTCGTTTTATCTAAGTATTGTTTTATTATACGACAAAATAAAAAAATACGTGTCTAATATTTTTTCATTACCTAACTTACGGACTAATTATATTTTTAATTTTCATACCCTGTCATCATCCCCATTAGATTGTTAATTTTGATACCCTGGAAACTACCCAATTGAAAACATTTGTCAGCAAAGAGCCGACTAAGGATCTACAAATATTAGACAAAGACCAGCCAGCACCGCTTTCTGATAAACTTAACCTTCTAAAATCTTCACCCGCCTGACTAGTATAGGAATAATGGGAAACTCTCTTATGTAGAGGAGACTCAAAGTCCAGCTGTGGATTCCGAACAATACCGATTTCCGAGCGACTTTTTGGATGGCCCACATACCTGCAATAGCCTCAGAACAGTATTATTTGATGATTGTTTCATATCTAGGTGTGCCATCACATTCCTCGCCTTACATATAGTAAAAATATAGTGAGCATCGTCAAAGATCCTTACCGGTAACCCTTCTGGGTCAGATCCTTGCAGCTTATAAACTATTGTCCCGACTGGTGTGCTCTCTGATAGCGCGAGATTGTTCATGTCCTGTGTGAACACTGGCAGCATGTTTGTGGAGCCTGCAAATAGACAGTAAACCTTTTAAGCTTATGGACACACAATAGTAACCACCAGCTGTAGCCAAATGCCATTTAGCGCTTGTCTCCATGTAGAGTAGAAAACCAAATTATATGGGATCGACGTAAATTTTGACACTTGTCCCGTACATTTAGTTTTCTATCCTCTCCGTAGACAAGCGCTAAAGTGGCGTTTGGCTAACGGCAGTTACCGTAGCCCTAAGAGTATAATAAGTATTTTTTTTTAAGGGGTGAAAATCATCGAATGACTGCTCCCGCCTGGGTGAGGCGGAAGGGAGTGTCAGACTCTTACTGACTAAAAACCACCCCGTTCCTTCTCCTGCACGTCGAGCCGGAGCCCCGGTTACCCGTTAGGTTCTCCGCGACAAGAGTATAATAAGTATAGGGGCCGTAGCCGAAGTACTCTTGAAACACGAGAAGTATCACAAATGCGATGTGGACTATGTAAGTGTGTAGAATTTTAGGACAAAAATAAGGTCAAACTTGGAAAAAGTGCAAGTGCGATTGCCGGCCAAGGGATATCAGGTTCAGTCCCGAAAAAAAATCTCAGTCGTAGCACGGAGGCTGAAATTGTGCCCGGTAGGTTAAAAAACTATATAAAAAAAATCATTTAAGGTTCTAACACTAACTAGGGCACAGAAGAAATTATCTATGTCAAATCCAGTATATCGAGTGTAGAACCAACTGATGTTTATAGTTAGCGTGAAAGTATTTAATGTTTGTTTAACAAAAGCCAGATAAGAAGAAACAAGGAGAACCGTTATTCCTGCACCTGACCTCTCTCGGGTCGTATCAGATTACCGTCCGGGAACGGATAGTGCAACTGTACCTGTCTACACATACTTTTGCACTATAAAATCTTTTACACATTTGTTTAGTCACATTGAAGGAGACGCTAAACGACCTCTAAATGGGTCAAAAAAGTGGGTGGACAGTTAAAATGATAGAAACATGAAACATGGCAATAGGATCAACCCTTAATTCATGGTTCATATAGCGACATACAATGAAGATACACCGAAATATGATAGACGACAACATAAAATCCTACACACGCGAATAGATGACTGATACGAGATGACGCGGAAAAGATATTCATATAAAAGTTCAACGAAAAACTGTTGAGACGTAGCCTGCCAGGCACGATCACCTCGTCTGTTCGGAGGATCCTCCTTTTCCAATCTTAGGGAACTTTACGATCTATTCCCTAAAGAACTAGTAAAATTAATATGAGAAATTGGCGCACCTCTATCTTACCTCTTCGGGTATTGAAAGTCATAACGTTTTGTTATAAGAGCTGAACTCAAATCAAGATGGCCATGAAACAATCATTACAACTCCAAGCTTTCGCTCCAAAAACCGATATTCGTTACACAATAATCAATTTACACACATTCTACATTTACCTACCTATGAGTATACACACTATACACGAGAACAAAATCAATACAATAACGCCATACTTGTTAATTGTACTAATCAATGTTCCGGTTCAAATAACTGTACCTACATGTTTTACTGGCTACTTTATTAATATAAGAATTTCGTTTTTTCTTATTCTTATAGGAATTCGAGCAAACTAAACACAACTTAACTTCAGTAGGCAGAGGTGCACATTACGGCACTTAATGCCATTGTACAATGTAACACCCACTTTTCACCATTTTATGTTATGAGTCCCATGTAATAGGGGGTGAGCCTATTGTCATATACCGGGCACATTTCCAGGCTCCGTGCTACAACTGAGATTTTTTTAAAAAGCCTTCTTGCCCGACCCGGCAATTGCACTTGCGACCACTCGGCCAATGAGGCAGTCGACCTAAACATATATTATAAATATCAGCTTTCTACGATCGATAGCTTGGCTTGTACGTTGCCTGTCTTTCAGTCATACTTAATTAGCGTTCATTGATATTGCAATAATTGTCACCAGTTAAAATATCGTTTAAAAAGGAAAGTTATAATATTTGCAATACTTCCTATATTGCTATATATACTGTGTACGCAATAAAATAACGATTTGATACAGTTTTGCGACTAAAGCTTGCTTCCTACACGATTAAAAATGTTTGTGTTGTAAAACGCAATGTATAAGTGTCTAATATTATTTTCAATATCTTCTGGTCGCTCAATATTAAACTAGAAACATTTAAGCTAAATTTTATTTGATCATTCATCGGTTTGGGTTGAACACGGCATACCACATTTTGAAATTTAAAGTGTAATATTTCATTTCTTAACCCTACAAGTTAGCATTTCCAATCATTTAGAAACCTACTTAGTTTATTATTAAAATATAACTATCACTCACGTAAATTACTACATACATCTCAATAAATTATACCACAATTACTCTTACACTGATAAAACCAGAGCATCTCAAAAACAAACAGCAATACAATCTTTATACGAACGCAATATGGTGCATTTTAATTAAGTGATTATGAATAAAGATGTGTGGTCCTATGTTATAAATAAATGTTAATTACCTGAAGTAAAACAAAGAGCCGTCCAAATGAACACCCATCTCCATCTCGTCTCCATCTTTGGTTATCTGTAACAAAACAAATTAACTTATTAAAACAAGGAAGAAGTCAAAAATAAAGTCAAAGGATGTAAGAAACGATAAAAAAAGTAAAGGGATTTGTGACTGTGATAGTAGTCCATCTGATGGTGATGAAGAAGACATTGCGGCTTCTCCAAATTACTTGGTACAAGGGTGGAAGGATGATGAAGACGTGGCAGACAAAGGACGCGTCCTACTAATATTAAAAATGCTAAAGTTTGTATGTTTGTTTGTTTCTCACTCCTTCATGTCAAAACTAATGAAGGGATCGAAAATGAAATTTAAAACAGGGGTAGATTATGGTCGAGAATAATATAAAGGCTACTTTTTGTCCCACACAAATAACTTAGACTTTACCTCTTAAACTTGGATTATTGGTGAACTTGAATCACACTCATCTGTCTAACAGTTCTTTCGTAGGCAATCCCTAAAACTTGCAGCGTAACGTTCCAATTTCACTGTATCTTAAGAGACTAACCACTAACACTAGCGTAGGGGAACCACAAAAAACAAAAGGACTACCAAATGCTAAATAACAGGCCAAATATCCACAAATAAACATTTAGGTCATCTTCGTAATGATGGAGTCATTGGAGTTGTTACATAAAATGACATGATATTATGAATGGGACATTAAATGTGACTCACTGGTGAAATGCTAAATCATTGTTATTTATTGTCATATTGTCTTCGTATGCAATAATATTTATGTTCATTGTGATAATAATGAATTGGTAATAGTTATGTCTAATAGCGTAATAGCTAAAAGAATAGATGACCTGGCAAATGTTTCTTTTCGTCAATTTTAAGGCATCATTCATAAAACAGACCAAAATAATATCACTCACTTACCCAAATACAACTCGAGACTGCAAACTTACAGATATTCGCAACTTACCTACTAGTCCTAAGACCTTCTGTATAATACACTCTACGAGGAGCCGTCGTTAAATACTATAAGTAATTGCGAGCCTATGCTACTATTGTTTAAGTACCCCCAATCTCAATAGTTAGTGCTAACTACTTTTGTTACCCAAATTACTTCATTTAGAAACGACGTATCAAAAACTATGACTTTATTGTCGATTCGCCATTGATCCAGAATTTTCCATTCATCTATTGGATCATCAATTTAAAGCCAGCATTTTTCCAAGTACATCCCGCCCGACCTTGCTTCAATTAAAGGTACAAACCTTGTCAACAAATGAGACCTCTTGAAATAAAGTGGATAGGGAGCTCCGTCCATTATTCAAGTACGAAATTCACATGCAAATAAGGATGACAATGCTGTGCTTTCAGTAGTGTGCTAACTAAAATCAATTTATTTCAACATTGGCGTTTTTAATTCTGCACCAAGGTTAATAAGTAGGACATAAGTTATTACATCGTACCGATTACAAGGTTTCCTTAGAAAGTTTTTGGCTTGGAAATAAAGCAGAACATTGTATCTTATTTGCTAATTCACTATGCAAAAGGCTTAATTCAACTAACAACCTTATAAAAAACCTATTCATTTTCACAACTATCATCATTTCTTACTTTATTAACAAACGCATCCAATTCTGCATCTCTTTAATAAAAAAATGGATATCCTCGAAAACGTTTGCACTTCGCTACCTTCCTTTAGCTCCCTAATTACCGCTAGGTTAATTGTCAGGTCAGTAGCCATGACCATACAACACTAGGGCACCGTTATAATCGTCCTCCTTAGCTAATTAATCGTCGTCTATTGAATAATCTGTCGCAATTTCTTTATAATTGATATCTATTTCCAATGTTGCAACTCGTTTCGGAATATCATTAGTATTTGATTAGTATGTATCTGTTTCATTGACCTGTTCTAGTGGTTTAGTGTTTGGTTTCATTGTCTAGAATAGATTAGAAATAAGGTTTCTTGGTTCTCAACCTTATTTGTTGTTTGTTGTGCTCGAGTTTCTTGAGTTGGAGATTTATAGTTCAGTAGTCACAACCTACAGAAAGGATTTAACGCATTGCAGCTAATAAGTTCACAGTTATTCTGGTAATAAACTAGTAAGCTAAACATATGGTTACTTTACTTTTGATTTATAATATACGGTATATATACGGACACAATTTATATGAAACAATAATTCGATGCTATTGAACTTATAAGTATTTTTTTAATAAATTGACTTATAATCAGTCGTAGGAATTTCAATAACATTGCTTTTCTTTATTCATACTGATTCATAAAAATCAAATAATTAAACAGCGTATGCTCATTTAATCAACAGAGATTTTCAGTTTACTCTTGACAAATCAAAATCAATTAATTTAAACTTTGACCTACAAAATCAAGTTAAAACAATTTAAACAAGATTGACCTACAAACTGAAGCACAAATGGATTTGTAGAATGGTACTGATAAGAATTAGAATAGATTATGAAATAACAAGATCGTATTCACACGACATACTTGCTTAATTACCGTGAGCATTATCATTGAGATTTAAAGTATTTTTACAAAGAATGACAATGTACCTACTATGCGAACACCAAAAAATTGGACATTATGACGGTCAAAGTATGATAATGGTGATGGAGTTCCTCAGGGTACTATATTGGGGTCATTGTTTTATTTCAATGATATTTAAGTTGGTAGACTCATATGTTGTTTTTAAACCAAAGTAATAATAAGCTTAAGTAAAGCTTGCATTGTATTTTTAAGTAAAGATATAGTAATGCATGTCACATTTTACCAACTAAACGGTACAGGTATTGGTGACATACGAAGCTTGATTCCTGTTTTGGACAACAAAAGGAAAATTTACAACAATTTAAATTACTATAACCTCAGAAATTGGTAGAACTAAGAAACTTATCAAGAACGAATTGGTTGTAGTTTATAGAATTAAAGAACATTACACGCGTCAGGCCAATTTTGTTAAGTAATAAACTAAATTGAATGACAAAAGGCATTTTGTTACGTTTTCTAATGTCAATGTTAACAATAACTGTTGAAAAGGTGAATTGATTTTTATCGACGTAACTGAATTTTATTTGAAGGCTCTTTGCATACCTCTCAATTACTTTATCTGTTGATCTTGCTACTACTTTTCATATTATCTTATGACTAGCGATCTTTCCTGATGGAACTAGCGAGGTTACATTAGGTCCCATTTGTCATTTATAACAAACCCAATATTACTCTATTGAACATAAAAGGAGAACTTTATTTGAATATAAAACTTCCGAAAAATTGCCCAAATGATTCGATTTTACCAATCACAAAATAATTACAAATCAACCTTTAGAGTTAAACCAACCAATTAATCGGCAATTAACATTTGAAAAACCAACAATTAAAAGCCTTTCTTAATAACCGGCACACGGCAGCTGACAAAAACCGAACCAGATCTTTAGAACAATGCGTTGCACAACGCTGTTTCGCACAATTACGTCAGAATACCGTCGAAACGACATAGTTCGCTGTTGCGATTCCATCCCGCACCGTGTGAGCTTGTAGAATTTGTAGACACGGCTACAACTCAGGCTATACAAAACCATACTATCATGGTCTGTATTTGTATGATCTTTCCAGACATTTGAAAGTCAGTTTATACTGGTTTTTATAGTTATATGTGTGTACAATTACAAATGCAGCTACATAGTTTTTGTTTTAAAGTAATTAATGTATTGTGTTGCTCAAGGGTAAGTCACTGTGTTTTTGTGTGACTTTTTAAGTAATTGTTTGAAGCAAGGATTATTATCTAAGATGTTGTTACTTTGTTCTCTGTTTTGTCTTATGTTAATTGTTGGTTACTCATTAATGTCTGCTTCTGAATTGTAATTAACGTTATGTTTTTGAACGTCGTTCTAAACCAAGAGACTAGAGCCTCATAAGGCCAGGATGGCCTATTAAGGTAGGATTTGTAGAACAATCACAATGGGATGTGTTTTCAACTTTAACTTAACTTCTTAAAGTTGAATGTCCATAAGCACGTCAAAAAGCAACAATCTGTTTAATCTGTTTTGGTAAAAGCATTATGATAATAACATCTAAATTGCTTCTAAGTTTTGTAATAAAATAATATTCCATGTTACACTAGACGACTAGAAGATGGTTGTGACATTTTGACACTTAAATTCATGTACCAGGGTCAAAAACTCGCAAGAGACAATTCTAATGTTGTAGACGTCCTTAGGCTGGTATAGTAACTGCTTTCCATCAATGAAACCATAAGATTTGTCACCTTGATGATGGTAGAAAATATTAAGATTTTTGAGATCGTAAACTAGAATGAAATTAGGTCCATTCACCATAAAGGTACCAATCATATCAGGTCTATAAGCTTGGTCTACAAAGTAAACCCTACAGTATCTATACATCTCCAGCAAATACAAGTTTCTACTTAAAACGAAAAAAAGCAAAGTGAGTTATCCAAGTTAATTAAAAATGCTGTAAAACAAGTTCAGTAAGTCAGAGATGAGGTAAACGTTGTATAATCTTGTGTACGTTGATAGACATGTTGATGCAAAGCAAAATGTAATACTTAAGAGCGTTAACTCAGCCCGGTTTTCTATACAAACTTTTAATGGAAACTGCTTAACCGATTGTAATGAAACTTGATAACATATTATGCAAAATATTGAGGTCTAAATGGTCAGCTAGTTGAAAAAGTTTTCGAAAAAGAGTTGAGGGAAACAGTTACATAAGTAATTGTATCTAAATCTAAATAAATAGCTGAAATCAAGTTTGGGAGAGCCATGCTTCGGCCGGCACGAATGGACCGGCTCGACCGGAGTGATACCACGGCTGAGCAGAAGACCGACGTGAAACAACGCTTGCGTTGTGTTTCGTCGTGTGAGTAATGTTACCAGAGGCCCACTTACTCACCCGGGTAGAAAACCGAAGGGGGGATAGAAAACCGAACCCTTTCCCAATCCTTGAATCCCCAGAAATCCTAAAATTTCTAATCCCAAAAGGCCGGTAACGTACTTGTAACGCCTCTGGTGT